GCTTGTGGAAATCTAGCTTCAGAACAGTGGCACTGCGGTTGAAGGAGGCACCCTGGCTTTGGGCTGGATTGGAACTACCACAGACCATCTGGGCTCCACCAAACTGGTTTATAGAATGACTGGGAGGGATACTGTAGAGCACACTTCAGCTTTCATCGCATGAGGGGGGAAAATACCACCCAGCGCTCGTTTTTGGCGGAGGGAACGCTGGAGAGTAAAAATAATACAAACAACTCAAAGATCCACCGCAGTCTGAGTGCAGAGCCACTGTGTGTGCTCTTAAGGTTTGTTTTGACTGCTCAAGATGTTCGCTTTGCAAAACCATACACAATTTTTCATTCATTTAAGAGGGACACCTATTCTTACCCCGTCTTATGCCATCCATTACTTGTTATGCAGCACTCATGGACTGTGGTGTTCAACAAGGCCCTCTTTACCCAAATGTAATAAACAGATAGAATAATACTGCAATGTGCAATATTTTTATTATACAATGTGCAATATTTGTATGTTTTATGTCTGTCTATGCTGTCTAGTGTGTCTATGTGGAGTTGCCTTTCATGTTATATTTATGTATATTTTTGCACATCAGAATTGGAGAAACGCAATCTCGTTCAGCTGTGCACTGCTTATTGTCTGAGCAAGCCGTAGACCAGCTTTTACTGACAGCATGAACGACTGTAATATTTCCCAAATTCCAACAGTGTCTGACGATTGGAAGCATAAGTACATCGGACACAAGTAGGAAACATGACGTGAGAAATCAGGCAGAGTTAAAGTTAGCCTCCTATTCCTGTTCCACCTTAAAGGGTGTACCAGTTACATTAAAGCGCTTGTACAAGTGGAATGGAAAACTCCATTTTAAATGCGCTCGGGCCCAGAGAAGGTGGCAGCATTCCTGGATCCTGTTTATGTACGGTTTCTTCTTTGCTTTTTAGAGTTTTAACTTGCATTTATGGATGCAGCGACAATTTGTTTTCACAGACAGTGGTTTTCAGAAGTGTTTCTGAAGCCATGCAGTGATTTGCACTACAGAATCATGTCTGTTTTTAATGCAGTGCTGCCTGAGGGCCCAAAGATCACAGCCAGCAAATACTGTTTTTTGGTCTTGTCCCTTGCATACAGAGATTTCTCCAGATTCTCTGAATCGTTTAATGTTATTATTTACCGTAGATGATGAAAAGCAAAAATTCAGTGCTATTTTACATTGAGAAACGTTATTCTTCTTGATTTTGCTTGCGCAGTCTTTCACAGAGTGGTGAACCCTTCCTCATCTTTACTTCTGAAGACTCAGCCTCTCTGGGATGCTCTTTTTATACCCAGTCATGTTACTGACCTGTTGCCAATTAAGCACCAGGTGTTTTTTTAGCATTATGCAACTTTACCAGCCTTTTGTTGCACCACATCCCAACTTTTTTGGAATGTGCTGCTGGCATCAAATTCAGAATGGGCAAAAATTTTTCAAAAAACAATACAATTTCTCTGTTTCAACATTTTATATGTTGTCTTTGTACTATTTTCAGTGAAATATAGGGTTTAAATGCACATCATTGCATTTTGTTTTTATTTACATTTTGCACAGCTTCCTGACTTTTTTGGAAATGGGGTTGTATATGTTGTTCAGTTTTTACTATTTTACATACTAAAAATATTTCAGGTTTACTTAGGTCGTTGAAAATGGTAATTATTAAAAACTGAAAGGATATCTCGGAATAATATACCCCAGTTAATCTAATTAATGATACATCTTTGGCCATACAGCCCACTACTAGTTCCATACTTTAACTGAAGCGCAATGTCTAAAACAGTGCTTTGACCAAAAGTGACAGACACTCTGGAGTCATTAATGTCTGCAATGTCTAGGTTTTCGAGACAGAGTAGATGTACTATGGGCTGTATTTCCAAAAGGCTTTTAGTGTGACTATTATCGTTACATGACAGAGTAACACTCACTCTAGCATTTAATGATGGTCATAGTGCCAGCACACTTTTAAGAAACCAATCCAAGAATGAATGAAGTGTCAAAGGCAGCATTAGAAATTCAGACTTACAACATTAACAGGAAGGTCTAGAGTCCAAACACTACCCCATTGACCTATTGTGCTTCTAGATTCTTTGTAATTGCAGAGGGAGTATTAGATGACTGAACATATTAGGTGAAATGAAGCAAAAATGAAGCCAAAATCAATTCCATGCAGAACAACACAGTAACTGGTGAGTATGACCTCTGAGGTTAAAGACTTTGGCAGAGACAGACCAGCACAACAAAAAGCTACCACCAAAAGAGATCACTGAAATCTCAATTCATTATCCTCTCAATGGACACTCAAATTTCAGCATCACCACTCAAACGCTCCTGCTTTCATTATTCTTTCTAATTTGCGTGGACAGAAAACCCACAAAGTCATGTAAGATGAAGAACAGCTGATTTCCTGCTTTGCTTCAAGCTAAATGCTACAGATCAGGGCTGCCCAAAGATAACCCATAAGGACGTCTGATTTGGCCCACCTAAACCCATCCCTTTCCCCAGTGAGAAAAAGAACATAGCAAACATACTATATACTGTTATACAATATTATTTCCCTTTAAAAACTGCATTCTTAAGGTTTTTAGTAACATTTTGTGTACTGTTACATACAAAAAAATAAGCTGAATTTTTTTTTGAAAACTCTTCGTTTTTTTTTGTGCACAGTTTTGACTTTTTGCCCCTTGGCCAATCACAAACAATGCTCTTTGGCTCCCCAAAAGAAAAAGCTTGGGAACCCATGCAATAATTAATACCTTGCGTAAGAAAAGATTGATTTCAACTTATCTAAAACAAATGTCACGGCTAGTCAAGACAAGCTCTTAATCATTTCAGATTCAGATCTCATAGTGGCTGTGAACATTGAGGACTTGGTCTGGTCTCTATCATCATACTTGATAAAAAATTATGATTCCTAGACTTTAATCAGACTGTCCAACAAAACAATCTTTTTAGTCTCATTTAGAGACCCTTGTGACAAGAAGGGTTCATGGTTTATTAAAAAGGCAGTGCTTCAAGTAATTATGAAAATATCATTTTACAAGTAATATGCCTCTGTTATCTCTTAAGCCTTAAAAACAACTATCATCTTTATAGTGAAGCATTACCAACCGTAGTGTTCAAAGCAGCATTTGACAGAAGTAACAAATACAACGATGGTAAATCTGCTCCCGGTGCCATCCTTCCACACTGCACGGTTCAGAAAAGCATTCAGTGGAACATCAGAAATTTATGACATGCTGAAAATGTGAAGGGGTAAAAGGTCAGGAATTCGGTGGTGCTAAAATTGTGCAAGTCAAGATACAATTACAACAATAACAGTGTGGGGGTCAGCGGTTAATTGGTGGCAGACACAGCAGGGCTTGCACTCTCTGTGATGCTATATGTTTTCTGAATGCTTTTAAAATGTAACAACATATAAATATGCTCAACCAGTGACCAATGGTGTGTCACTGACACCTTGATATACTATATGTATTTATCAGCAATGTATAATAATAGAATTATAGGAGCAGAAGAAAGAGATAAAGATTACTGCTCTTGTAAACTGCTATTGTTTCTGTGTACTGCATTACAGAATTTAGCAATTATTTTAAATGTGTTGGCTTGTACTTCACAGCTTTACAGCACATTACAGTGCTAAAAATCCCCATAGATGCTTCAGTATGTTTCAGGTGTTCTGCTGCCCAGAAGATCAGCAAGAGCTTTACAAAATTTGGTCTGATTTGAGCAGTAAAGATACTTCTCAGAACTGATTCTGCTGATGCTATCTGAAATCACACTGTCAATAAAGACAAGTAAGCCAGTTCCACTGGGAGTCATGCATGTTCAAGCCATGACACCAACTCCACTATGTTTCATAAATGAGGTGTTATGCTTTCTGACTTGAGCAGATCTCTTTCTTTACACTTCCATCATTCTATCACTCTGGCACGAGTTGATCTTCACTTACTTAGATGTTTCTTTGTTACCCAAGTTGGGAGATAAGAAGTGCCACGCCTAGAATGAATTCCAGACCTTTTGTTAGCGCTCGTGTATAAACTAATGATGCAATGACACAGAGGACGAGAAACACTGAGCAGGCAAATGTCTAGTTACTTATGTTTATATAACCAGCTGGGTTCCCTATATAGTTCACCCAATATACAGAAGTAAATGCCCTTAAACTGAAGACATCTGCTCTTTAAAAGCAGAATTTCACTGACTGGAATATCACATGCTTAATTTTAGTTTGTTGAGCTGTTTGAATGTGTTATCACCTTCACAGCTCTCAACAGTCACAGAGTTACAACACCTAGCCTTGAAAAAAAAATTAGGGGTAAAAGAAAATGCACATTAGGACTGTTTAAAAAAAAATAAATAAAAAAAAAATTCCAAAAATGAATGACTTCTTTTAATACCAAGTGCCATTCTGAACGTTTGTCCAAAATGTATTAAAAAATACAAATTATTGCTATGAAAGGGACATTTGGGACATTACATGTATGTTTACCTAATACATGTAGTTTTATTTTTATATTTTGTAGAGCATGATGATAAAACAGTGATAGCACATACCTAGTAATGACCCATACCTGTCGGCACATCAGCCCTGTTCTGTTTAATGTGGATCAAGGAAAAGTTAGCTACTCAATTAGTACATGGTCAAAATGAATTTTGCCACAATGTGATTTGGTCAAGCACTTGGATGCAACGATGAGCGCCGTGATGGCTTATTTTGCAGGTCTGAACTGACCAAAAATATGCCCATGTTACGTAACATACTTTGTGAGCTGGCTGCCTATCAAAGCCATAACAGGGGGCTTTAGTTGCCAGGCACATTTTGGGCTCGTGGGGCAGAATTAGCTAAAGCAGATCAGTTATCTTCTACAGGCCAAGTAAAAGCCTGACATTTGGCATAGGCAATGCAAGCTTTGGATCAAAGCAAGTATTACAGAGACACTGACTACTGTGAGAGAATGAAGACTGTCCATCATTTGCAAGACACTGAAAAAGGAGGATTTATTGCACTTCAATAGGTGAAAGTTAAAAGTTAAAAGCAGCATGTTCAAAAGATCTGAAGAGTTTCAGAGATCATACAGTACATAGTTTCCCTGTTGATTATAACCATTTACAATTAAAGGTATACATTAAAGTTATAATAATAAAAAAATAAAAATACATAAAAAGGCAAAAAGAGAAGCTCAGGTTACTATTGTTTAAAAGGGATTTATATTTTATTATCCCTTTGTATGACTGATTTACATTTTTTACTTACAACAAACAATTTCCTGATCCTGCTGAAGGCTCTTGCGTTTTAGGAAGTGCCCATTTTCAACGAAAAGTACACATACATTATTGTGGTATAAGGTATTACTGGGGGTGGAGGGCAGTACACGGTATTACCAGGGATGGAGGTGGGAGGCAGTAAAAGCAGTGCAAGAGGTTTAAAGGTTTTGTGACGTCTCATCCTGCATTATTTCACAACTGAAAATCAAAAAGTTTACTTCGCTCACAAGGTCCCAAATAAGTGAAAATTATTTTTGCCAATAATTATTCAATAAATTTCAAACCATCTAACAATTGATAAATGTTAAATACTGCTGCTAACTAGGAGAGAGGAACTGATTAGCATTAGCTTAGTTAGCATGATACCATCTTTGCTCACCAAAGAACATGTTTGAACTAAAGCACGGACACAAGTTCAGACGATAATGGTTCAAATCTGAGGGAGTAAAGTCGAACAGCTGTCGAGCAACTGGCGTTGAAGGCACAGAAAGGCAAAATTAAAACTGTTTGGATCTGTAGCCAGACATGCTAACGTAATGTTAGCTTAGTGACTACAGACCATAACTGTACCACACACCACAGTACACGCTTAATTCTGACAAACTGCTGCTCTGCTACAACAAATATGACAAAAATAACGTTTGAGAGCAAAGTCGAGTGACTGGTGCTGGAATGACAGAAAGCCAAAACCCTAACACACCGTAAATCTGATATGATTCCAAATCTGAAGGCCATCTTGACTTCAGAACTTCACCATGCATAGTCATGCGAGCTCTTCAAAGCATTCAGCAGGTTCTAACTGATTTTCATAAAACACAAAGTATTCGCTTGTTCGTATGATAAAGGTTAAGGTGCAGCTCACTCGCGATGAGCTTTGAAAGTGCAATACCCTGAGAAAAAGTGTGTTTGGACGGTTGCGATGACGTTCCCGGAACCATGGAGTCTTCAAAGCCAAGCCTCTGGCCCATGAACCTCCTTTACCAACGTGAAGCTGTCTATTACTTTGCCAGACTGAGGACAGAAACATTTTTTTTCAGTTAAATGGTTTCTTTAAGTCTTGTAGTCATGAACTTAATAATACATTTTTTGTAAACACTGACAGCACTTAGAGAACTCAGTTGATAATATTTACTATATTTAAACATAAATGTTTGAAACAAATTAGACAATTTCAACTTTGCACAATTCCAGTTTCATATGTTACAATGTATAAATGTCATTTTGCTGAATATCTAAATACAGCTCCACTGACTGAGTGATTTTTTACCTGATCATCTGACACCTGCTCCAGGTAGATGTGTGTGGAGTTGATCAGGTGCATACGTGTGTAGCCATAATCAGTGGATCTGAAGGCACTCCAGTCCCGAGGCTTGGGGATAAAGCCATCATGCTTTTCTCGACACCCCTGAGAAAAAGAAAGCAGAAAGCCTCAAGAACTCTAGATGTCTAGTAATTCACTGTTTTTTTCCTCTTAGGTTTTCATAGCTTCCTTGCCGAGTAAGAGTTTAAGATCAGGCCATGACTTTAAAGGGGACTGAATTCTTTTGGCCTGTTCAGAAGCAGGTTATATGTGTTCCTTTGTTTTAAGCAAATTTAATGATATTGAGTAAAGACTGTGTTAAATATAGCTAGTATTACGGCATTTTCACACTTAAATGCAGATCCATTACCAGCAGACATTTACTGCTAATGTTCGGGCTTTGTGACATTCAAACCTGCAGTTCTGAAACACTATTTTACTGGGATGCACACATGCACATTTGCCATGAAAGTCTGGTTAAATAGGCTGTGATATTCTCAGCATGAACAGCCAACAGCTCCTTCAAAATACACTCCTGCGTCATTTTTCTGTCTCAAAGACTAAAAACTCCACTGTAAAAACAAAAGCGCCACAGAAAAGTTCTGCTTAACTGGCAGTGCTGTGTCACTTTTGCACAGTAGCAGCAAGAACATGTTTGAGGGGCAGATATATTTAGACAGTTTATCTTTAATTTTTTCTTTAACGAAATAAGGACATTTGTTGTTGGCACAGCACTTAACAAAGGACACTCTAAACACAGCTTAATTCTCAAGTCTGAAGCAATAACATACTTAGCCTACCATAATTATAAGTTCACCTGACAATATGACGTGGCAGTTTTACTTTTTTCTTGTCTTTGGTGGACAATGTGACTTCCATTTCTCTTTTAGTGAGATTTGGGAAATGTCATATTGTACAAATTTACCCTAATTATTGAGCTACGACAAATCTAGACTGCTTAATGAACCAGGTATAGGTATAATTATATTATACTAGGTACACCTGAAATTTTTGAGATTTATTTTGGTTGAAATAACAACAGCTTTTACAGAGGCAGGGGGAGCTTTTAAAACCTGCTGAAATTAACCTCCCCCTATATCTGCAAGTTCTGATTAAAATCAAATTTATTCTGCTGACTTGTCTTGGTGTGTAGGTTATCCCATATAAAGCATATGTCAAGTTCAACAGGGAGAATTTTATCAGGGGCAGCAGCATTCTGGCAATGCTATTTTAACATCTTCTGAAATTATACCCCCTTTATACCTGACCCTAGGAGGGGCAAAGCTAGCTACTCTATTTTGTACTCTATTTTAATCAGGCTGTTATTGTTGTTAAAATCAACTCAGGGAGATTTCTTAGAGATAGGCCTATTTTTATTTAATATAGACTATAGATCTATTTTATGTAATTTTTCATTTAGATGTTGTGCAGGGAAGGAAGGCCTGTCTTTGCATTTTATTTTGATCACAGTCTGTTTTAATAAAAGTGCTTGTGACATCTCACATTGCTTTGACTTTGAACATTTAGCCCACTTCATAGAAAATATCGAGGTATATAAAGTGTGTCGCCAGGCATCCTAAAAATATTGAGATATGATTTTTGGTCCATATCACCCAGCCCTAACAATAGTGTGTTTCAGCACACAACTCAAGAGAAGCGGAAAAGCACGCTGCTACTGAGTAAAATAATCGCCCATGAACGCGTATATAAAGGTCAAAGTTTAAATGACACATGATTCATTCTTTTACTCATCAGTACTGATGAGGATGTACATCATTGTGATGTGATGTGATGTGATGTGATATACATGATTGATTGTAATCTTTGGCAGATTGTGCTAAAATCTCATGTAGAAAGTAACTGTGTGGTACCCACCGAGATACCGGCTGATGTTGTTATGCACACACTGTGTAAACCAGAAGTGTTCTGTGCCATCTTTTGCAACTAGTCAACTGTTTTCATGGCAGGGGGTTCTCATCCTTTCCCTTACACCCCTCACTGCTCACTAGCAGCTCAACAAAGAGCCACAACATTTCACACACAGAGAGTCATCAGTGTTCTAGTTAATCTGACAACATGATTACTAGGGATGGGGGGGAAAAATCGATTCTTAGATGCATCGCAATGCGGATGTGGATGATTCTGAATCGATTCACAAACGTCAAAAAACGTAACGTTGACGGAATGCAAAAGGCGGAACTTCGCAAAGTGCAGAAGTGCAGCGCCCGGAGCTAGTGCAGGGGTCGCAACCCAAATGTTAATAAGAGTCATTTTGTCCGTTCAACAAAAATGAAACCACCTTGGGAGCCACAACATTTTGAGTCCGTTTTACCATCTTGGCTGTACATGTGTCTCAGTAAGTGCTAATATCCTAGTGTAGGGTAAAAATATAATACAAACAAAAAAGCAGACTTACTTTGCTCTGCTTTAAGCTTTAGCTCAGCTACAGCCGCTTTTCTTGCATCACCAGCTGGAAACCTTTCCTCAAAAGTAGAACAGTTTCTTGTAAAATGTCTCTCAATGTTTTACTTTTTAAGAGGCTGAAGTCAGTTTCTCGTTCTCCAGCTTCTCGTTAGAATTTCCCAGTTCCACCTTAAATTGTGCCTGAGGCACCAGAATGTAACTGCTGCACCATTTCAGTTTCACATGTTTTTTTTGTGTTTCACAGTTTCTCGTTGCAAGTTAAATGTATCAGGAAACCAGCTGGAGTGATTATAAATGCATCTAAATTATCAATGTTCGTCTTAAATCTTTCTCTTTCGTTAGCTACTAGCTAGGTGAACTAGCAGTTATAGGCTACATTAATTCCAGCGTTTAAGATCATTTATTGCTAAAACTGTGTTTGAAAGATCAGCACAGCTTTATTTTATTGCAAAGGAGGATTATTTTATTTTTACCTACAAATCTAATTCTGATGTGGAGCCGCAACCAGCCGGTAAAAGAGCCGCAGGTTGCCGACCCCTGAGCCAGCATATGGAAGCACTTCGACTTCTATGGAGTTGAAGGGGAAAACCATATTGCATGTTTCCACCCATTTTCCGTCTGGTTGTAGTTGCTGCCAAACAGAGGACCATCGAGCAAGCGATGTCAAAGCTTCCACCCAGCTCTGAAATGGCGAAGCGAACTACAAACTCTATCGCAACCTTTACTGCCAAGGATTTACATCCATTCTGTCTTTGAGAACCAGCGCTTTTGCACTATGTTGCCCACTTTGGAGCCGAGACACAGCGTCCCGTCTCAAAGATATTTTACTGACACAGCGACCCCCACACTCTCTACAACGAGACCAAAACCGAAGTTACAGAATCACCGTAGAAAACGGGAAGGATAGCTGTAATCTGCTGCGTGGAAATCCACTGCCACAGAATCTTATTTCACTGTAACTGCGCATTTTATCGCAGATGAGTGGCAGCCAGTATCTCTTGTGCTCCAAACAAGAGCAGTGAATGAGAGCCTTCCAGTTCATTTGCCACATCACTTCCATTTGTTTTATTAATAAAAGATATTGGAAGTTAATTCATTATGGACTATTACAAATACTTTGCTTTAAAGGTTCCAAGTTGTTACACAGTGAGAAAAAAAAGAAATCCTATATAGAAATAAGATGCATCAAGATGCATCCATAATCGTTTTATAATGTCATCGCAGCTCTCTGAATCATAATCGAATCATGAGGTGCCTAGAGATTCCCACACCTAATGATTACCAGAAAAAAATATTTGAATATATTAAAAATATCAGAATTGATTTCAATTCTGCCAACAGAATGGCCACTACGGTGCCTGAAAGTAGGGGCTACCTCAATAACTCAATTATTAAAGTCAAGTTTTCCTTAAACCCTGTGTTTTACAGACTACGATATTTTGGTATCTATTTAATCTTTTAAACTTTGTCCTTATAGTCATTACTTTATATAGTCATTACATACACTTTTTGAGAAACACATGCATTGACTGTTTCATAGTGGATGAGTTTTGTTTGAGTATAGAATAAATAATGCAAATACTGTTGGCTTAAGAAATCGCTCCTTTTACTGAAAAACATCTTACTCACAGCTGAGCCAGTGATTATATGCACAGGTGCTTTGGGGTTCACATATGGCTCATCAGTACTCCCATTATACACCTGTGATGAACAAGCAAACCAACAAAGCACAAATTATTTATTACATGATGTTTATACAAGTTCTAGTCTTATATGTAGCTGTTGTCTAATAATGGCATTCTTTATACATGTATTAGTTAATGACACAACTTGCTCATTACCAAATAAAATGGCTTCAGACTGATGTGCTGAATTCCAAATACTGACCTTGTAACCATATACAGGCCAAAGCCTTTCATATGTATGCTCATGTGCCCAAAGCTCCAGATCTACACCTGCAACAATATATACAAATAATCAGTGCAACATTACCAAATTATTTAGACAGAAATCACATTTTGTTAAACAAGTGAGAAACAAACTGTACTCATACCTGGTTATCAAACCCAACCACATCCATTAGGGCTATGAGGCTTTACCCCAATATTGCAAAACACATTACAGTATTTCTATGGAACTTCCACTAGGAGATCCAAACCTTCTGAGGTTGTTGTGGTGAACGCTGAGAGAGATTTCTCTAACTGTCTGTTCGGCAAGATAGGGTTGCCTTCAACTGTAAATAAACATGTTGATATTCAGAGAGCGCTAGTGAGATTTGTGATACTGCTTACTGTGGCCAAAACCAAAGGGCTGTTTTGGTAACATTCACCGAATGTCACTGGGGTTTAAGGCTAACCTTCCATACCTTTAAATGTATAGAAGGCTTAAAGAGATTTCATTTAATCAAAACACTAGTTTGGTGTTTTCTTTTGTTTTTATCAATACCTCAAGTGAAACCTACCAATTACCAGTAAATCACAAAACTGACCCCCTCTGAATTTTGGTTCATAAAGTAGCAATGATCAGCAAGTTAATTAGTTGAAGCCTAATAAGAGCTTTACAAGGGCACATTCATTATAGAGTTCATTCCATATTGGCCCAATAATATGGTTATGGTTGTGATGTATAATACACAAAGTGCTGAATTCCTAGTTATTGCTTAATACAGTAATAACTGACAGGAGGTTAATTAGTAGTTCTAAGCTTTATAAGTTAGTCACCAGCTTTGGTAACTTGGCTTGATAAGGCTTAACAAGACATAAAAATGACACCTACAACTTTGTGTAGAAGAATAGGATGTATAATACACAAATAAAAGTGCTTTGGAAAATGCTTAATTCACCCTAGTTATCGATTAATAATGGAGTTATGGGCATCCAGTTGATTATCAATTCCTGGATTGTTAAAGAGTAATAAGAGCATTTTAATTTATTAAATAATTTATTATTTAATTTATTATTTGATTTATTATAGTACTTCAGGAGAAGAGAAACTAAATTTGGTTCTTATTAGGTACATGTGTAGCTTGTTGTGACAAACAGTATCTAGTGTCATTAAAGGGATACCGTGCTGATAGAACAGGTACTCCAGGCCTGGCGCTGGTGGTTTTGTGTCATTGCGGCCAAGTCGTACCTGAAAAACAGGGAGATTACAGATTGGGAGGTTATGAACACTGTATTTAAATTGTTGACAGTCAAAGCTGATTAGAAACACAAGACACACATATTTTCACATCATATTTAAGAGTATGCTGAACTGAACTTAATGGAAACCAGTTAAAGAGAGGCACAGCAATGCCAATTTATAACAGCTGTGTGTATATTCCAGTCAGCGAAGGACATCAGGTCGGATCAGGACCAAACTATCACTTTCAAAAGCCATTAAACCTGCACAAATGGTGCCCAGAGCAAATCATTCCAATGGACTTCCCTTACGAAACACAGGAAGGCCTCCTGAGATGCTGCATGAGTGAGCATTTCCCCCAAAGTCCAATATATAGCCAGTTTACAGAGTTACGTCAGGTTATGAACATCCCTTTAAAAACACTAGTAGAAGCTGCTGAGACATTGGAATAATTAGAAAAAGTTGAAGTTCTTGGGGCATCTTTTTCCAACTGTGAATTTAGGAGACATGTAATGACTATTACGCAGTAGTAAGGAGAGGTAATAAGAGCGTGGATTTATGATTTAAGTAGACCAGTGTGGGCAACAAGGAGCAAGGTCTGGTGCCAAAGCAGCAAACCTTGTGCCCTTACAGACCCCTTTCCTTTTCTCTCTAACCCATGAATCCTGTCAGGCTTTGGATGAACTACTGGTTGTAACAAAGATGACAGAACTGAATCACCTACGGTACTAAACCTACCGACCAGCCTTCATTTATTTAATATCTAGTCAAAATAGCCATTCAGTGCAGGAAATATATTTAAATGAAAATTACTCAGAAGCCTTAACAACTAATCATTTTTAGCATTTAATGTGTCCACATTTTGCCGTTATTACAGCTTGTGTTCTTTTCAGGAGACTTGCTTTCAGTTTTTCACAAAAATAAACAGGGATATTTTTCCACACCTCCAAAGTTTAGTTTTATGGTTGCATTTTCTGCTTCTAGGATTCAAGTAATTCTAAACACAGCCAATGGATCTTGAGGTTTGGACTCTGGGGCGGCCAGTCCATTGTTGTGAGAACACCAGCTGCTTCCTTTCTCTGGTATCGGCTTCTTGACAGCTACACATCCTTTTAAAGCCATAGTGGTGTGTTGTGTTCTCAGGGTGGAATGATAAACAAAAACACCTGGGGATTTTTTCCAGATCGGAAGCAAGAGTACAGCCTGACTTTATCTTTTAAGAACTTTGACTTTCCCTTTCCTTATGCAAGTGATTATCTTACATCTAATCTTTCTACAAATATCTGAAAAATGAAGAACTAATTAATAGCTGTTTTGACAGGAAACTAAAGGGGGGTCTCTGACTTTTGCACAGTACTGTGTAGGATTAGAATGCTGGGTATCTGGGATTAGTTTACTGTGACTGTTTTTATACTATCCTGAAAAAAGCACAAAGGCCTTCTTTTGCTATTGACACACTAGACTGTTGCCCTTGATAAACGAATAGCCTACAGGTAAATTTGATATGATTTAAGGCCATGTCTGATTTAAAAGTGTGAATTGTAGCTCTTTCCTCATGACAATAAATGGGTGAAATATGCATTCAGGCAATCATTAAAACATCAAATAAGCCCTCCAAACATCCAGCCTTGAGACTTGAAAAGATCCTTACATAACTCTCAAACTTTGTGCAGTCATCATCATCATCATCAGAACAGTACATGGGTCTGTGTGCCATGGTGATGATCCAGGGTCGTACTGCTCTGTTCTCTGGTTTGTTCGCTTCCTGGTCAAACACACATAAGTACTGTGAGTTATTATTGGGCAATTAGATGCCTCACGTATATGTAATTTTATATATACATGAACCTTAAACTAAAATGCAACAATATCACAAGTTAAAAGTGGGCAACTTATTTATAATGAATGAACTAAAATCTGACCAAATTTCTAGTGTTCTGATGTAAATGTATACCTCCAGGTCACTCTTTAGCCACTCGTACTGTTTGAAGAGGAGATCCAAGCCATACTTAAGGTAGAAGTAGACCTCAGTAGAGAAGGAGATGATGTGTGCTGACCCTATGTTCCAGCTACAGACAGACATGCATAAATAAACATGTTTAACTATTATGAACATGCAGCAGTGAGCATAAATGCCTTAAAAACAACAAGCACATTGTTACTATAGCTATAACTATCTCCATTTTTTTTTTACGAGTTATTATCCAGGAAAAGCTGTTCCAGAGAACAGCTGGAAATGTGTGCTCCTATGTCATTAAAGCTAAACCTCAGCAATCTTTCCAGTCTCTCAAGAGCAAAAGTATAAGGCTCAGTCAAGCTAAGAAGTTGAGAGGTAGAATATGATTCACTGATTTTGATCGGAACATGATAAATGTGCTTAATATGCTTCAAACAAGATATTTGTGCAGGTAGATTATTTCTTGGTATTAAGGAGGATCACAGTATTTAAGGCTGAATGGTCTCAGAAGCTCTAATGCTGCACATCAGTGAGCAGAAAAAAAATGTAACGTTATTATTGAGACTGATATTACTGGCTCTTGCATTTCAATCAGTTACATAACTTTATCGCATGAGGACTTTTGATCAGAGCCATCTGAAAGAGTCAGAGCCTTGCCAGAATTTAGCTGAAGCCAAACACAAAGCTGGACTGGCTATTATATTTTAACTAAAATGGAAAATGAAAATGAATAACAAGAAATGAAGATTCTAAAATATGCATCTACTCTAAAATCTGTTTGGACTGAGCAGATCAACGATAGCGCTGTACCCATCAAGAGATAAACAAATGTCTACTGCTCATGGCAGTCCACATGTCTAAGAAATCAGGTTTAGTCAGTGTAATATTCAGAGTGAAGATGCTTACGTTAGACTCCCAGAACTGGCACACGTGACGTAGTGTATGGAATGATAGCAATTAAAATGAAGTTTTCACATACTCTTCCCAGGAAGGATTTTGTAATCCTTCAGACTAAATAGAATGCTGGTGGTGACTGATTTGACACTTCCGTTCCTATCATACCAGAGTGGTCGACTGACCAGCGCATGTGATGGATGAGACCTCAGAGGTGCTCACTCGCTCTAAACAGGAACACGTGACTTTAGGCCTGCAGTCTGGCAGCGGATCATCTTACGACTTTGCAGTCTAAGATCCATTACCGGCAGAACAGCCACTTTTCTGTTGCCTTCCTTTCATGCATGGTGGAGATCAGGGCTTAAGGCAGAGCGTGACTGCTTTGGTTTGTCAGGTCTTTGGTATTTGGTTTGGAGACAACACTCGTTCTTATGTAACTTTTGGAGGAGAACATTTGTTCTGGACATAAACAGGTAGCTGATGGACAGAAGGAGTGAGTTGGTAACCGACCTGTACCACAGACTCTCTGTCTGTCCTGGCATGCTGAAGCGGTTCCTGTAGTGTGAGAAGTTGCTGGAAAAAAAGAGGGAGAATAATATATTACTGGTATGTCAACTATCTCCAAACGCCTTTGAGCGTGTGATAAACGCCCAGTATCTGCTCTTTCAATCAGAGGTATGCTCCTGGCCTAGCCAAACACATGCCAACCTGCTTGTTGAATATTTTAGTTGGACTTAAATCTAAAATATAAACGACTTTCTAGGAATGATGCAGAGATACTATTTTTTTTTCTTTTTCCAAAATTTCATTTTGGTCATAAAAATGAGCGCCAGGTTTCTCTCCGAGATGTGGTTGTGAGACCTGCAAACAGCAATGTAAGAAAAAAAGAACTTAGAAAGTTCCACATTATGGAGAGATGAATTGATTTCAGGCATTGAGGGGTTAGAGTGACAAGTGTCTGGTTACAGTAATTGACAAGAGAGTTCAGGTCAGCAGCCAAAGATACAGGGGACAAAGTCAGAGAGGCTTTGAAAGTTTTCAAGTAAGAAGTCTAGATCAAGTCAGTATATAGTCAAGAACAATAAAACAAAAACAGCATTGCATGAACATCTGCAGCTTTGTCCATAAACAAAAGTACAAAAATGCTTCCGCTGAGGAATACAGATTTGTAGATCTTAAGCCAAAATCTGCTGAACAAGAGTACAGTAAACAGATTCAAATGGAGAAGCATTGTGAAAGGACAGCTAGAAGAGAGGTGGACCTGTATGCTTACCCCTCGTAGCACAACAGATGTCCCATAGATGTTTCCACATCCCAACCCGGGGGTAGACAGATAAAAATTTGTTCCGGCCCCTCGGGCCATCAAGCCAATGAATCTTGTAACCAAAATTAAGAATTTGTGGCCAAACATGCCAAACGTATAGCATCACAAGCATCACAGCATCACAACAGCATTACAAAAGCATGCTTCTGTACCAAAAACTGTGATGCATTTTTTTTTCCTCAATTTTTTAAATCAAACCAAGGAATGATGTGGAGTTATTCTCACTTTTTCACAATATAGTCTAGCAAATGGAGGATTTGTATCTTTTGATCCCTCCCTTGGTTAATCATCCCTGCACATTTCTAACTGGAATCATAAAAGATTATCGTGCTATATTAGCGCTCATGGGAATATTGTTTTCTAAAAAACTCTGGTAATGAACTTGTGTCTGCTTGCTGTGAAAACTGATGACATGCCCGTAAGAACATCACATGCTTCTCAAAATTATACAACAACTACATGAATTCTTTATTTTACATTAATTCCTTAATATATTTGTCTCTCTAATTAGTTTTTTTTTTTGGTCATCATCATTATCTGATTTTTTTATTATAGTAAGTGCTGCGACTGCATTTTAATAACCCAGCTATCACAGTAGTCTATGATGAAATACATGAAGTTCTAGAAAGTGAACTTGCATGCAGTCACATTAGCTACAGCAGCAGTCACATTAACATTACATTACAGGCTCTGGATCTCACACGAGAGGTGAAAAGCAGTTGTCTTGTTATTAATAGTAGCTATTTATGAATGTTTAAAAATTCAACTGTTCTGGTGGTTTGACAAAAGAGAAAACATGCCAAAGCAAGTGACCACTTGGGCCACCAGCTCTGCATCTTTAGATTTTAGATAAAATGTGAAATGTTGTGACCAGGGAAACCAGGTAACAGGCACTGTCAAACTCTATCCCAAACTACCTTTAATAAGTAGATGCTTGATGATGTGTCACCAAGATACACATCCTTTAAGAGATAAACTTAGACTTAAAACAAATACACTGGATGGAGATATTTTCCTCAAGACTGCATTCAAAAACCTTTTGCAGTTAAAAAAAGGGTCTGTTGTGTCACCACTACAGCTTTTTGCCCCATAAACCACTTCGGTAAATGAGTTGAGTAGCCTAAAGCTGACCTAGATCAGAAGCTCCTGGGCCATCTTAAATGTAAAATAAACATGTCATCTCTGCTAGAAGAAGAGCTCAATTCTCCAAAACAACATTATGCAGCACTGATGGAAAAGAGTGCTGGCCATTTTCCACACAGCTTCAGGCTTATTATAATGAAATATAGGGTTAATGTATCTTTCTTAGTTTGTTTATATGTTGCCTATATTTTTATTTAACTATGCATACTATTCAACGTCGTAAACATTTTTCCAGCTATCCTTAATTTTGCTATTATTGTTGAGTATCCATTGTGTTGGTCTTTGTTTAGCAACAAAGCTTTAATTCTCCATTATTGTAAATGTAAGTCTTGCACTTATTACTGATTACCCTGATCGTCAGTTAGGATTCTTTGGCACACTACAGACAGCAGAAAAACATCACTGCATAAACAAAAAGCCCAAATGGAATTCAAAGACCCAAAAAATGATAAATACATAAATTAAATTAAAAATATATAAAGAAGATGAAGAAGAAAAACTACATGCATTTCTGCTACTGTGTTCGGCTCCAGTTATCGCCATTTCACTGACTCCCATAGCGTCTATTTACACTAGTTATATTGTGAGCGACTCTTTAGTTAGTCCCAGCCATGATCTCAAAATGATTCATGTTTGCATTCAAAAGCAAAGCAAATCTTAATCCTCAAAACGTTCTGAATCTCCACTGACTAAGATGTTTTTCTTCTCCCCTCCCTCCAGACAGTAGCAGTAGTCCATGAGAAAGTCAGAGTTTAGGCCGACAATTTCTCGTATGTTTATGAAATACGCATTTAAGCTCTGCCAAAAACTGTTTTAATGACAGACCAATTGAGAGTTGAGAGGACAGGAATGCAGCTAAAATAGAGAACGGGGAGAATTGGGCCAGATCTAAAAAAGATATTGTCTAGACACTAGACTAACTGTTTATCCAAAGAAAGAGTACTTCAGAGGCCATGTCATCACATCAATGCAAAAGCACCTAGAGTTTTCTCTTTTAAGATTAATGACAAAAAACTTGAACAAAAAAATACCTTCTTGACTGAATTAACTATATGGTAAATGCAGTGCTGTCCCAGACCAAAAATTTTCTTTGGGGACCAAAAGGCCTGATTTTTAACTAAAAGTTGACGAATCATCTGCCTTCACACTTAAATGAAATTTAAGATTAAATGAAAATAAATAACACTGTATCGGAAAACACAGACTTTTCAACTTAAAACTACACTGCACCATGAAGGAACTTTGATTTCACTATATATGTTACATGTATAATTTATCCTGATGCCTCAGGATAGGCTTCTTTTGCGCTGCCATAGAAAAAACACTTCCAATGGATGGTTCTTTAAAGACTGTTTTTGTAAAGAGCGTGAGAGTGAAAAACTTTTTAAAAGTTTAAAGAACCTCCACATAATATAAAAAGTGTTCTATTGGCATAGATTTGCATTACATTATTTAAAGGTTCTTTGAAGTTTTAAAGGGCCCACATAATAGAAAACAGAATTTTTTTTCAATAAAAGTGTTCGACATATGTAAAAATATGTAAACTCCTCAGTCCATACTGTCCATTTATGCAAACGAAGCTGCGAAAACCCATGATTCATTGAAACAATGAATTTGAAAATTCATTGTTTTTGTGAGGTTACAAAAAGAATGCACTTACATATCCACCCATTCAGCCTACAGCTGTTTAGCACTGTCCATTCAAGCTAAAGTTACACTCACAGTGAATTGACAAGATGCGTGCAAAACCTTTTTGCTGTGATGTGAACATACCTGATAAACAGCCTGTTTAATCCTAAGGGATAAAGTAAATTTGGAAATGGGCATGTAAAAATTAATTAGGACTGTTTTTGGTACATAAAACCACAGAAATGCTATAAGTAGACCTCAGGGAGGAAATAAAATACAAAAAAATGTAGGATATGGGTCCTTTAAAAGACTCTTCACACTCACAAATCTCTTTTTCAAACATGGTTATTTATGAAACCAAATATGGTTCCTCTACAGCAGTGGTCTCCAACCCTCCTCCTGGAGGTCTACTTCTTTCCTGCTGACTTCAGCTCCAGCCTGCATACAACATGCTGCATGATCCCCATACCTACACCAATACATCTTATCCAGGCAATCAAGGACTTTGGAAGTTAATTAGCTGGAGCAAATATGGTAAAGCTCAAACTGCAGTTCACAGGAACGTATATCCCAAGACCAGGGTTGGTGACCACTGTTCAATAGCACCACTCTTAGGACCCTTTGTGGCACCTTTTGTAAGAGTGTACATCATATTTCAGACCGGAAAATGTCATTTGCAAATTTAGTATTTCCCCTCTTGGATTAATTCACTCACTAGCTACTTGGTCCAAACTTCCATTTACTGAAATATATAATGTTGAAAGTATACCTTATTATGAACAAATAATCAAGTAAGTGAACACGAAGTAATCCAATAAATGCAAATACATAAATAAATAAAACTAATAGTCGACAGACCTAATCTTAGTCGACTCCGAGCGCTACAACTGATCAATCAACTTAAAGGGGACTGCAGTAGCTTAAAGTGTGCAATAGATTATATTAAGCAAATCAAATGGTCTCTCCTATTGCCTACTGAGGCTAGTGAATGCAACAAAAGGGCACAGGATATTTAGCACTACATATTTCAAATGCTGAAGCGTTTCAAAGTTAGTTAATGAAAATAACTGGTAATAGCAACAGCTGTCTTCAAAAACTCATAATCACACTGGCACATCCTGCTTAGATCTGCATCTAGATAACAACAAAGGAAGTGGATCATCTATAATACTCACTAGGCCCACTCATGATTACCAGGGCAGGTCATATAAGGCACATAGGCAGCAATGGATTCAATCTGTTTCATGAACTCATCCCCAATTCTGCCATTGTCCTGAAACAGATAGGGACAGACGTAAAGACACACTCACACAGACAGACATAACATAAAACAGTGCCAAGAGACTACACTGTGAGTGAACACATTACTTACCATATGGCAAAAAAAATAACACAGTAGATCCATAATGTCTCAAAATTCACTAAATACTATAATCTGTGTTAAGGAAGGCTGACAGCCCAAATGCTGCTACACTCATTAATGATAGTAGTATAAGCCATAAATTTGGCTAATGCTCTTTTTCTTAAGGGGAATGCCAAAGACCAAACTGACGGCAAGCCTGACAGAGAAACCTCAGTAATGACAGAAAGAAAGTTAAGTGCAGTCAAGAGAGAAGGCCCTAAAAGCTAGGGCTGCCATTAAGCTAAATCAATTTTCCAAGCAACTTATCCAGATGCCCTATCATTACACAAAAAAGGGGAAAAAAGTGCCTTGATGAAATCTGAACCAGCCGTTCTGACAAATATTATAATGGGGGCAATTGTGGGATAAAAACAGTACAAACTATGGTGAGCTGCAGAGTTTTAGGGCCCTTAACGAGTTTTCTGACAGCTCCTGTTCTGTTTTTCTAGTTAGAACATCTGGGGAGTGGTGGAATGGTGCTGTTCACAGAACTGCATGTACTGCAGAGTTTAGACCTTTGCGGTTTTCTGATCATGACCAGGGCAACTTTATTCCTTTAAAAGGAAAAAGACATATCATGACATAAAGGTTAGCAGAACTGTGTATCATATTTGGAGAATGGATTATCTTAGTAGCATGAAAAAAGCATGTGTGATCACACTAAAATTTTTTTAGGACAAGGGTTCATGACCTATTTATCCTGGCCAACAAAGGATCATCACTTTTGATGATAATAAATTACTTGTAAAAGATTGAAATGGAACACATTGATGGTGGCTTGGCACATGTCAAGCAGCGCTTTCTAGTTCCACTAGCAGTGATTCTTGGCAATGTTTCTTAGTGACAGCTAGCCTAAACATAGCTTCTAAATAATGTCTAAATCAGGCTAGCCTGTCAGACATATCCAACAATCCTTCAATTACAAATATCTACATTTTACACTAATACAAGTATACAAGACTAGGCAAGCCTAGTTTTGCTGGACTGCCATCATCTGCACGGCATTTGTCACAGAATTTTTCTAGCATTCTCATACAACTACTTTGGACACTGGATTTGGATTATTATCATCATTATTTTGTGATAACTCATTTCATAATTAAGATACAGTGTGTCTACTACAATGTCGTGAATAAATCCATGAAGACAGATTTAGCTAACTAGTTCAAAATTATAATAACAGATGGGTATTAGCATAGTATCACATATATCTGACTTGAAGATGATTTCTACTCACAAATGTCTACAGTTACCCAAAATTTTGTTTTAAGGGTGTAAAACTACAAACAAAACCACATGTTCTGTAGCTGTCAATATACATGCTATTAGTGTGCTAGCATTACAGCTTCAGAGCTAGCCAACGTTGGTAATCTTGCCACGGTGTTATTTCATCAGATATTAGGTCATTATTTTCTCAGGTAAACGTGTTTCACTTAATGCATTTGTTCTTTCTGCTTTTATTTGTTAGCCTTATGTTGCTAGTGTTGGTAGAGCATAAGGACAACATTTAACAGTGTATAACGCCACCTGCTGCTTGTCTCACGCAACAATTATTGGTGCACACACGTTTCAAAAGTGAGCGACTCGGTCAGTCAGTGACTCAGTAAGGTCACACTTTATTTGGATGGTCCCCATAGATGATCCACAGATACTTATTGACAAACCTTTTGGTAATAGTTGATTATCAACAACATTTAGGTTAGGGATAGGGACATATTTAACAGAATCTTCTACATGCAACTTCAAGTTCGGTTGCATTTAACAGATATTTAGTTGAAAGTTAGTTAGAGATAAACTGAATATCTACAAAGCATCTACTGTGGACCATCCAAATAAATTGTTACCGATTAAGATATAACTCTTCCGAAGTGTTAACATGTGTTAAAAATGATGCCATATTCTGTACACTTGTAATCAGGCTTTAACTGTTACCACACAATCTGGCCATTAAAATGAGCATCATGTGCCTTTGGTAATTCTGAACGGGTTTGTTTGTTCAGACAAGCTACCGGCTTGCACAGAGCAGAACGTAACTATGTGAGCCACCTCAAAAAGGCTTTTTAGGGGAATAATAAGTGAACAAATCTAATCTGACACATAAACAAAGCGAGAGACAGACATTACAGCGGAATTCATTAAAACAAATTAAAACAAATAGTAACTTTACCTCATGCATATCGTAGGCAAAGTCCCCTACAAATCAAGCAAATCAAACACAGAACAAAAAGTTTATAACTGTGATTAACAGATGTTCATAAACAAACAAACTCAGCTCGAGCGTGGAAAATGGATTGCTCGTTTCATCATGTACAGGCTACACTTCCAGAAATCTTGAGAAACCTTGTAAACACTGTTCATTTTAAACATAAAATGATTAATGTAGTGATGTGGTGTGGTGACAGATGAAAGATGTTGCAGCCTTGTGATGTATGGCAGTTCAGGTAATGTAACTAATCAGTACATGTACTTTGCACATAATTTGATCTCAATATCAACAACTGTCTGCTAAACTGTTTGACAGTGTTGAGGTCAGCAGAGGGCGCTATATTGCGCTGATGGAATTTGGCCCGTTATTGTGAGCACTTTAAATTTCAAGTGAGTGAACTGAAATACTCTGGTAGTCGACAGAAGTTGCTCAAATGCATGTGACACACTAATGTTTGTGTTTCTGTTCACATGATGGAGGAAAACCAAAAAAATTAGACCTTTCTCCCTACTCGCTTTATTTTGCATTTATTTTTGGTGTGAATGAGTGATCTTTCAGTTTAAAACAATGTTTCAACTATTCTTTTAGACTGCCAACAGGAGAGAGCAGAGAACAGCCTAACACATTTTGCCTAATAATTTTAAATGTATTTGATCAAGATTAACATATTTTATTCAACAACTCACAAATTGCTGCTACAGCTGAAACCTTTGTTTCCAGCATCTACCATCTGTAAACAATTCAGCTGAAAGCAGAGTGAGTGCAAACGTTAAAACTAACCACATGGGCAGGTTAACTGTAACAGACAGAGGGGTTAGTTGTCACATTTGCCAAAAAATCTGGTAAATGAATGCAAAACATGTCTGATTCAATACTGTTCTGTACTGTTTGGGCCAGAGGCACGCTACATGTACACGCCATAATGAATATGACTTAGACTGTGTTTAACATGGCAAATTTATTCTTTACCACCAAATGAACCGCGAATATCAGCATGATAAATTTGACATGTATTTTATTACATGCGCATTAAAACCTGACTGTTTTGAATTCATGTGGAAGGTTACAAACTTCTCTCCCTTTTTCCCTTGGGCAGCTCAGTTATAACACTGTGTTAAGCTAATCTCACCATATGGAGGCTGTATTTTAGCCTGGCTACCTGTCACTGTGAGCTTTTTTAACATACATCATAGAGGTGCAATAGAGCAACCACCCAGAGGGTGATTCAAATGGAATAGGTGAGAATTCTTGAAAAAAAGTTACTCGTATGATACAAAAACAAGCTGAATCTTAAGAAATATCTGTCTGATTGCTGTCTAAATTCACAGATAATACTGTGGTAGAGATACAAGAGTGTGACTAAAAGCATGTTCTACTTGAACCTGTTTAGCTACATAAAATTTCCATGTTACATTTTCCCTGTGTGACTTTGTGCCCTGCTCTTCCGTCTATTTTTTTTAAAATATTTTTTTCTGTTGAAAGTAATTTCACTGCTACAAGTCTTACCAATGTGCAGGATAACGTCATACATCCCAGCCTGGGTCTCTTTCTGCAGTCGGGCAAGTGACTGGGGGTTCTCGTTGCCCATATCACCAAACAAAGCAAATCTTGGGCTAAAACTTGTGCTCTCATTTAGAGCAGTAAAGAAGAAAAGATCACTCCAGCCAGCCTCACTACCACAGTGATAAACTGTAAGACAAATACACACACGCATACAAAATTACAATAATATACTCAGAAAATGTCTAATTCATTATCTCATTGAAGTGTAAGAAACTGTTGACCTGAGTCTTAAAAACTATTTCCCTACCTGCTATTTTAGTTTCCTTCTTAAACAGCCCTTTTAAGCCTTTTCTTTCATCAGCTTAATCCGACACATTTTAACACTTGCTCAAGTGAGACATAAACAGCATTTTCACAGACTGAAATGTGGTCCATGTCACTACTGTGGCTGAAGGTATGCTTACCATATGTATCCCCGGGTCTCAGGTCTGACAGGGTCACTCTGTGAATGTACATTTTCCTTTTCTCTGACCCCTCATCAACAAACACAGCGGAGTTTCCCTTAGCAGTCTGAGTAAAGAGCTTTCCGCCCCATAGATTGTACTCCACCATGCTGTCTGTCTTGTTGATCGTTGTCCAGGTGATCACCATTGAACCTTTTACACCTGTGGGGGGGGGAAGAAACATTATGTTCACAATACTTATAAACTGATCAAGGTTGAAACAGCTTAGTAACTTCAGGAGACATTTTTTTCCAACAGATAAAAGTAGGCTTTCATTTTCAGGTTCACAAACAACTGAAGTCAACAACATTATCATTTCTTGAAAAAATCAACTGACAGTTCATGACTTAAGAGAAAGAAAAATTTGACACAATCAGTGTTTTAAGAAACAGTACAACTAGGCAATCACAAACAGGCAGTCTGACACAGAGCAGACTATATATTGCTGAATGCCGCAAAAACAGAGACAAAGTCAATAGGGGCAATACGTGAATACCACTATTATGCATCTGTCTGCAATTTTTTGGCATTGCAAAATCCAGAAAACAATTCTGACTCTAATCCACTTACATTTAGGGAGCATTTATGTAAACATTTAATTTTCATTTAAAATTTGCACACAATTCAACAAAGTTTCTCTTTGTGCTTATATAAAACACACATATAATATGTAATGATTTAGACAACTTAACAGTTTAAAGCATAGACAATTATCCAAACGCTGGTTTCTGGTACATGTACCCAAACTTTTGACCAGCTGTGTAATCGCAGATCTTACTGAGAGCTTGTTTTTGTGCTTGTGTTTGTAAATTTACAGTTGCAGTAGAACAAGCTTGATCATAGGTTAAGGTTTCTAGCAGTGCTTTGAAGTGCTTGTGTTATTGCGCCATCTACTGACGGAATGTTTTATTACCTGCTCTGTATAACAGTGTCTGCAAATGCCTAACAAATGCTGAATTAATAAACATCATAACACTCACGTTAAAAGTAGTACCATCTGCAGATTTGTGTAAAACAACTGAGTGAAAGAAAGAATCTTTGCGCTTTTAACATGACTTTCAGAGCTTCTTAGTATCTGGTATGTCCTCCTTTTGCTTTATTAACTTCGTGCACTGTGGCTGGCCCATAAAAAGCCTCTGCTCTGCAAAAGCCTCTATAAACATTTGCTTATATTTAAACAGTGACCTAGAAATAATGCAGATTCTTAAATATTTCTTATTCACTTCATTTTAACTTTTCTTTGTTTTAAATGTGTCAAAATTCCAATACTTGCTATTACTTATTATCAGCTTTAAATGGAAAAAAATCCCAGATTTTCAATGTAGCCCCACACTTTTGGACCCCACTGTTCATCATTTGCTGGATGTTTAGATTGTTTTGCAAGAACAGTTGAAAATATACAGCAAAATTTTGAATACCACGGTCAAATTAATGTTCTGTTGATTTTCTAAGTGAAAATAAATTTACACATCATCTACAGGGAACAAATGTAAAGACGACATTTGTTAGCTAATTCTAGCCCACAACTTCTATTTATTCACTCAATTTAACACATAGCTATACCTTCTGCACAGACCACATTTTATGATTGAGTTTTCTTCCTAATATGTAAATTAAATATATCAAATAAATTATTTTCACTTAGAAAATCAACAAAACATACAAAACATGACCAGGGACATCCAAATGTTTGCATATAAGTGAATTAAAACTTAAAAAGTAAAAAGTAAGGTTCCTTTCTGAAAATCTGATTTCTGTGTGCTTAACATTTACAACAGTGAGTGAGATTCCCATTGGTGTAATAGTAACAGAAAAAAAAAGAACAAAACAGTCCAAAGATACATGACGTTTGTAAAATATTCTTGGAGCATAGACTAGCAGCACTCGAGAAACATGGGTTAATTACCTTTAATAATGAAAATTTAAATATCATTTGATGCTGAGATAGCATAATATATTTGGATAATACTGTGAAACTGAATGAGAGGAATAATTCTAATGAAAATAATAATCTTTCCATCTCTCTAACCATAAGATTCTTAGTACTGGATAGAGGAGAACTGAACATCCCATACCCTGTAGAATGACTAACCAGCTTGTTATCCAGTTCAGTCCAACCTACATATGTGCTGGCACACCACCGAAACTTCAAGAAACATGATAAGACCAATAATGAGTTGAGAGTCTGCTCTTACCTGGATAAGATATGTGCACCTGCTCAGGCTGAGACCCAACAGGAGGCACACATAACACCAAAGGCATCAGGCCACAGAAAAGAAAAAGAAAACGAAGCACAGGAGCCATGCTCTCCTCTCTTCTCCTTTTCCTGTCTCACACTGCTGGGAATCAGAATACAGAAGACAAGACAGTATTTTTACTTATGCTTGTTAAAAAGTGACCACAAACACATGACCTGCTGTATAAGATCACATGATCACAACAATAACATATGACTTTTTCAAAGCTGTGTGAACTCTGCTCTTCCGCAAACCCACAATGTTTTTCACTTCTCGTGAAAAGTGAACTAGCATGATAAAGCAAAAAAAAAAGTGCTGATGTATGGTGTCTGAAAAGAAAAAACAAGTCTATCTCTTGTCTATTCTGGATGTTTATTTGCATACATAGGGTGTTATGAAGAGATGAAAACTGCATAGTTCAGATTGCTGCATTACCTGTTTGCATTGACTGTAAGATCATATTCCTCAGATCAAACAGCTTAATGCTGTTGGAGGGCACTGACAAGAGTTCTGTGGATCACAAACTGCCATCTGTTGATAGGAAGTGCAAGGGCAAGGTCAGCTTGCTCATTAAAAGCCATGGAAACATGGTTCACTAACCACTCAAGATATATTGTTAAAGTTCGTATCTTCTTTGTAGCCTAACATGTCCTTTGCAGAACACCTTCATTTGAGCAACACTGATTTAATATAGTATGGCCTTACAGTATATATGCACCCACTGGCCATTTTATTAGGTACACTTACCTTGTATCTACACTCTTGTCAGCTCTATTTGCTGTACAGGTGGATTTTGTAGTTTCCTTACCTCACTTTCCTTACCCCACTCATCAATGGTCAGGACGCCCACAGGATCACCACAGAGCAGGCATTTTTTGGGTGATGGATCATTCTCAGTACTGTAGTGACACTGATGTGGAGGTAGCATGTTAGTGTGTGTTGCTCTGGTACAAGCAGTGTTGCTGGAGTTTTTAAATACTGTGTCCCCATATGTCAACTCTAGCAGACCCGTTTACCTTGTTGGTACACCCTGTAGATTTAAAATCAGACGCGATAGCTCATTTGTGGCTGCACAATTTGTGTTAGTCATCCTCTAATGCTTCATCAGTGGTCACAGGACACTACCCACAGTATTCTGTTGGCTGGATATTTTCGGTTAGCGGACTATTTTCAGTCCAGCAACACTGCTGTGCGTCATCTAGAATTCACCCACCCACACACAAACATGTCACTACCATGTCAGTGTCACTGCAGTGCTCAGAATGATAAATATAAAGATATAAGATAAACCAAAGTAATACCAATAATTAGTGCCTAATAATTTAGCCAGTGTGTATATTCAGACATTTCTTTAAAAATGCCTGGCTCAGAACTGCAAACTTAGCAAAATATTGTTCTTGAAACCCCAAAAGCCTATTACTGGGTCAAAAACGCGAGACTGGATGATGTCAGCAACTTTTCTTGGATTTAAGTTTAAAACTCCTAAATCTTTCGGCCGGAAGAGTGAACAATGTAAACACTGCGCAAAGCTACAATGTGATAATAGGATGTTAGCACGCTAGCTGCCTGCTAGCTACAAGCCTGGCAAAACAATGAGAGATACTAGCTAACTAACTCAGCTAACTTAGCTGAGTAATTAATATTGTACCTCAGTTTGATATTAGTTGTCCACAGCGACCACAGATGAACCGTTTTGCACACTTGTAAAAAACACCCATGAGAGTCTGAGACGGCTGTTACAGCCTCTGACCTGACCGACAACTGTAAACTGGAGAGCATTATGCTGGGAAATAAGGGACGAAAAAGCGAAACTGAGAGGGAAAATAATCCATTCTTCACAAATATACTTGATAGTAATTTCATTGACAATTACTCATCAAAGTACTCAGTACAAATGAATCAACTTCACACGTAAGGAAGTTACACGAAATAGTGAAACTAGCTTTAGTTTCCACTCACGTCTGTTGGTTGCTAGCTTAGCTAACTAGAGCACAGCTAGCTCTGGATTGTCCGATGTCTGGAGTCCTGATGTCGCTGTTACTAAAATTAACGTTGAAAAATAACAGTATTAAAATACCACAAAAACCGAAGCGTGCGACTCTGTAAGACACTGTAAACGCGTCAGTAAGTGGACTCAAGTGTTCGCTGTGGGCTCCTTTTCGCCGCCATCACCGACCTGACTGTATCTCTGAATCTGAGAGCGGAGCGGTGCTACCGTGTTTGGTGTGTTTGGGCAGGAAGCACGTGCACGAGGTTTTTGTTTTGAACGGATGACGAGAAGAGAGAAAGAGAGAGAGAACAGTAGAATGGTTAATATGGTGCTGGATTTTTTGTATTTTATATGATTTTTAAGTAAAACGGTACCACGTTTCTCGTTTTGGGTACTGAGGTTAAGGTTAGGTAGGTAGGAGCAGGTAGGTGAGTAGCGTAGTATTAAGCAGGTTTGGCCACTTCCTGTTTCTCCCATCATAACAAAAACATGACTGTCAAACGCCAGAGGGCGCACGAGCGCGAGTCCGCAATAAATGGTGAACAGAGCTAAACGGCTAAAATCGAAAAGTTAAAATATTATTAATATATATTTAATATAATAAGTTAAAATATGATTAATATATATTTTGCCCGTCCGTGGCCGGTGTAGACCGCCAGCCAGGAAAGTGAAAGTAAGTGAAATATAAGCGTTTTTTTTTACTTTGGCAGATGATTTTTTAAAACAAATGACATCAAAATCTAGGAAAATGTGTTTAATTAATCAGAGATCGATTTGTGAAAAAAAATCACAAATGGATCTCGGTATGTTTGCTCCATATAGCTCTGTCTCCTTGGGAATAAGACTATCTGACTATCTGAGTTAAATTCCACATACAAACATTATCAACCTTGCAAATTCACTTGTTGTACATATTACTTGATTTGTGAAAATATACACTAACAGATTTTGTGATATTTTATTGTTTTATACAGGTCTATTTCCATTACCGTGCATACAAAATTGGATATTTGTATCATTTACCCAAACATTTGACAGTAATATCCCCGTTTATTTTGGAATCGCTCGGAAGCGCCCTCTCGCGTTTGACAAACCCGGAAGACATTACTGAGTGGCGTTTCTCCTCAATACAAGTTCTCCGGTAGTATTATCAGAGAATTTGTAGAGATGAGAATGACCACTCTGCAATGTCTTCCGGTTTTCTCAAACACTAGAGGGAGCTCCCGAGTGAGTCCAAAATGAATGGGTTGATGTGGAGCATTTGAGCAAAATCATAGTTTATAAATGCTTAAACATTTTTAATGTAAAAGAATGCAATCACTTCCATAGGAAGTGTCCAGGCTCCTCATAAATCGGCTCTGGTATTACAGAAATACAGAAGTACTCCTAAGGACAGGAATACAAACTTGCGCCACCCAGTGATAGAATTACACTATGCTGACTGAAGCTGCTATTTATGGGAGATTTTTCAAAGTTTCTACATAATTCAGTTTTTTAAGCGATAACAAAGTCATTCATTCAGAGTGTTTTGATGTGAAGTGCTGCATTGTAGAGGATGATTTAATGATTTATCTATCGTGGTGATGACAGGAACCAGGAGTCACAATGTCTTCAACACAAATTTTATTTGCTATCCAAAGCCACCAATGAACCTGTATGTGTCTCCTGAATTTTTATATGTAATGTTGATAACGGTAAAACATGGTACATCCCAAAATGGGGGTGGGGTGGTGATTTAGCCTTTTAATGTCCTGCATATACCCCTCCACTATGAATGGATTAAGAAAGCACATTCCAAACTATCATAAGACGATGTTTCAGGCATCAGGCAATGAATTGTTTACCATTTAATACAAAAGCTATCTTTGGGGTAGCTATAGTAGCATTAAACGCTTTAGATGTTTCTACCACTGTGAACAAATCTGACTCAGTAAGTTTCTGTAAAACAGAGCATTTAACATCAAACCACTCTGAAAGACTTTGTTTACATCATAACCATTTAAATATGCAGAATTTGATGGAATGGTTCACCATAAAAATAATTACTCAGTTTTTTCCTGATCCTGTAGACAGTCAGCCAAGATGCTTAGTGTGTGAGGTTTGCTCCTTTAGTTTTGCACTGGAGCTATGAGGCTAATATGTCTATGTCAGTCAAAAAAGATTAGCTACATTAGCCTTGTAGCCTCCGGTACAAAGCATGCAAACTTTGGACACCAAATATATCTTGACAGATCGACTTCCTTTGGGGTAAGGGAAAACTTGACTGAATTTGATTTAACAGTAATTCATTCTTTTAAAGGGGAATTCCACCAAGTTTATGAAATTTCTTAATAATTCAGGCCTTGGGATGCAAACAGTCTTTCAGTGTAGTTTGATGTGAAATGGTTCATTTGTAGAAAAACTTAGGCCTTCAGACTCTAATTTCTTTACAGTGAACTTAAATCTGAAAAAATAAGTTATCTTTGGGAACTATTTTGCCTTACAATGTCCTGCATGTACCCCTCCTCTATGAATGGATTAGATTAGAATAAATGGATGCAAATATGTTTTAAGCCAAACCTTCATCACAAAACTATCATAAAACAATGCGTCAAACATCAGGCAGCATATACCCAAACATTTCATGTAATAGCTTTCTGTGAGGGGGCTTTTAGCGGTGGACGTCTTGTTCCTATCACCACCACTGTGAACAATTCTGACTTGGCACGTTTCTCTAGAACAAAGATTTTCACATCAAACTACTTCGAGTGACTTTCTTTGCATTCCAGTTATTTAATTGTGTGGAAGTTGAAAAATCAGTGGAGTTCCCCTTTAATAAATGGCAAAGAAATCCAATGAGCCAAAGTATCACAGCTAATAAACTCTACAAGGTAAAACGTGCTGATTGTGTGATTCCTGTTGACCAGGATGGCTTTCATGGATATGTCGTCTGAAGATATTGACTATGAAGGGAGCGATAGCTCAGAAGAAAACAGTGAAGAACAAAACTACAGAGTTCGGCTCTCATCAGCAAATTATACAGAGGTACATTGCTGACATTTCACACTATTTCACATTATGAAACCATGGACTGTCTACCAATCATAATTATATGTTTAGAACTATGTTTGTACATGTGATTGATTAGAGCCTTCTTATCGTCATTCTCACAGGTGGGTTTTACAAACAAGAAAGAGGTGAATAAGAAGAGGTGAGCGTCTTTGGAAGCCTAAAGTTTCAGCGCTAACAAATGTGATTGACACTCTGCTTCTTTTGTGTGATCTGTTAATTTGCATGTTCATTTACTCTGCACATCAGGGTGAAGAGGGTTGTGTCCTGCAAGAGAAAAACACGTCACCTCACTCTGACCTCAGGAGTACGCAGGAGGCCATCAATAAATGCCAAAACGTTTGATGCATTCAGCAAGGACAGTGAACAGGCTGGCAAAGCAGAAATGCTAGAGGGAGGCTGCCGTGAATTGCATCTCAGCGTGCCTCAGGACAGTAGGATGGAGGAAGACAGCGTCATATACTGTGACTACTTTTCAGCGGTATAAGTCAAATATTATGCAACACAGAACTAAGTCCAAATTCAGTCCCAAGTACCTTTTACACTGACCATCAAGTGCCTAATATAGCTAGTGTACTGGACTTTTACAGATATCAAAGGACCACAAGCAAGTGACAGAAATTCTCTTTGGACGGAATCTGAAGCTCAACATAGCCTTAACGCTTTGGAGAAGAAATATCGGAGAACTACTTTCATTTCTTATAAAGTAATTATAGCAGCAACAGACAGTACTGTTACTGTGCAAAAGTCAAAGCCTCCCTCAGTTTATTTCATTTCTAGTCAAAACAGCTGTTAAGTGCAAATTATTAATTTTCAGCATCAGGGAAACACATATATTTAACAGAAAATTAAACAAAAGCCTATTCAACTAAATATGACATCAACATTTTCTGTATTTAGTGTGCACCCTTTATTACAGCTTGCAATCTTTCTGGCAGACTCACTTTCAGTTCTTCAAAGAAATATTTTGCCACAGCTCCAAAGTTCAGTCTTAGAAGTTGGTTGCATTTTCTGCCAATGAATAACTTGCATTTTATGGTCATTTTAATGGAAATTAACTTAATGAAAGAAGGTCTCTGACTTTTGCATAGTACTGTACACTGAGTATTTTAACCATTGGTAAATGTTTAATTGTTAGCAGTGTTAAACTGGAACACTATGCATTGTTTTATTATTTTATCTTCACAGAATCCGGGATTTCAGTGTGCTTGTTGACTGCCTACCAGTATTTACCAAAAGGTGGGTACACAAAGTAACTTTGAAACTGATTTTAAATGGTGCATCACATTTATACATGTCTCCATTTGGTCTTCTAGCCTTCACGCTAAATGTGCCTATGTGTCTGTTGGCTTTTGTGTGGATATTTTCCCTCTGGTGAAAAATCTTCTCAGAAGTCATTATGAAGAGTAAGTCCTTCCATTGAAGTATCTCAAAACAAACTTTATTAGCTGTGATAAAAGAAATCCCTTTCGATCTGATCTTACTCCTTACTCCTCAGTTATCTCATCACCGCCCTTCTGTGGATTCAGGCAGTGTTGACAAAATGGCTGCCACAGCTATCACAAGTTGATGGGGGTGAAATTGGCATCTTTTCTCCTGATTATAAGTGAGCTACTTTAAATATAAAAAAACAAAAAACAAAAAACAGAAAAAAAACAAAAAACATACTGTTACTTTAGTTTGTATTTTGCGGTTTTGCTGACAGGAATATCCAGGCTATCAAGCAACAACTGCAAGGACTGTGGAGACAGGAGCATCAGCTATATTTCACCACTGAAGCCACAACAGAAATATGGAAGGTAGTTTATGGTTTGGTCATACAGTTTTTGTCTTATATTTTTCAATTAGTGGTCACATAGACATGTGGGTTTAATCATGGGTTTTAACTTCAGACCAGTTGCTCATACCTTAAAATGTTATTTTTTTTTTTAGACCATTCAGTCACAACTGTATCAGCTATGACTGTACTAGAATGAAGTGCACTGAGGAATCCAGCATGCCAACTTGACCCAAGTTACAAATCATATAAAGCAGTGATGGAGAATGACACACCAAATATCCATCATTCTGACCTACAAATCAAGACAGCAAGGTCATTTTCTTTTCTTTTTAACAGTAAAGCTGTTCAAATATTGTATCATATATTGTATTGTATACACCATCATAAGCAAATAACGCATGTATTAGTTTTACAGTATACAAAAGAATTTTGCCCTTTCTGACATGCCGAAACATTTTAAATGCATTTTGATTGTGATGGAATTTGTAGGTGATCAGATCTTCATGTTATAGAGAACTCAATAAGACAGATAACACAAACAACTATATAGTTCACCATGATCCAACATTAAATTTCTTTATGAGCAAAAGTATGTGAACCTCTGTTTTCAGTAACTGGTGTGACCCTTGAATGACCAAGCAAGCGTTTCTTGTAACTGATCAGTCCAGCACATTGACATGGAGAGATTTTAGCCCATTCCCCAGTGATGTTGGTGGGCTTTCCTGCATGAAGTCCAGGCTTAAAGTCCTGCCAAAACATTTCTGTTGTATTCGGGTCTGGACTTTGACTCAGCCTTTCCAAAACACAACACTTCTTCTACTTCACCCATTCTTTGGTAGACTGACTGCTGTGTTTAGGGTTCTTTTCTTGCTGCAAGACCCATCTTCTGTAGAAGTTCAAGTTACGGACAGACAACTCGACATTCAATGGTAGAATTTTCTGATACAGTCTAGAATTCAAAGCTCCATCAATATTATCAAATTGTAATTCTATTTGAGTGTTTCTTATATTGAATTATTAATTGATTTTGATTTTAAAAGTATTTTTTTCAGTTGATAAATTGATTGCTGAGTGGCATGAATGGTAACTTGTTGATTCAGGATCACTACAGTCATAAACTGGATTAACTGGCTACCCAGGATGAATAAGGTCATGAACTCCACTAACTAGTTATCCAAGATCAACATAGTCAATAATATGTCTAACTATCAATCCGATGTTTTTATCTATGAAATAAAAAGTGTGTGTGTGTGTGTGTGGGGGGGGGGGCGCAACTCCAGTTTCATGTATTTTGACCATGGTAACTGCTGTACTGTAAGAAACTATGGTTAAGGCCGACTGATAAAATTGGGTCCTAACTAAGCAACTTTGTAAAACATGTCAGAAAATCATACAGTAGCCCACTGTGGTTAGTGATTTGTTTTATTTTTGATTCTCTTTACCTGTTGTCACGACTTTGATGAAGATATGATCACATTTTGGCTTAGATTTATGTAGAAATTCAGAGCATTCTAAAGGGCTCACAAACTTTCTAGCACCACTGTATGAGAATTGACAACTGTTCACAGGTTATAAAGTGATGATATTTTATTATAAAGGAATAAATGGACTGATAATGCTAAATGTCAATTCAAAATGCATGTTTTTGAAATAAAAATGTTCCTAATACCCAATTATGCATTAATTTTTCTGCACAGTGTAGCTATGTTTAGGCTATGGTCAGGGATGAATTACTCACCGCAGCCACTAGCCAGGGGCCCAAAGACTGCCAGAAGCCTCAGGGTTCTCAATGCACAGGGCTCAGAGATGCTCAAAGATTTGGAACAATCCACTGGAGACATAAAAATGTGATTACTGAGTTGCCTTTGACTGTGTATAATTGAGAAATGTTATCTGACTCGACTCAACTATTATGGAGTCATTAAATGTTGTTATTGTGATTACAGTGAGATATTTTAGACGATGTGATTAATGTTTGTTTTCAGACAAAAACAAAAAAAAACACAAACCGTCATAATGTGAGCACAATATGCTATTACATGGCTCATGTTTTCTTAAATTAGTGAATAAAATGTCTAAAGTACCTTTTGGCAAGTACATTGTAATGTTAGTGTTAAAAAAAAACTAACAAAAGTATCGATATTTATGAATATACCAAGTAATTCCAAACATTTGAACGTTAGTGTTAATCTCGCTGCCCATAATCTCTTATTACTACTTTTAGTTTTTTTAGTACTTTTTAAATCGCTTTCAGTGTTTATTTTATTATCACAGATGCGATATCGTTGCGTTATTTTTACATATGCGTCATTATTGTATTGTAGAGCTCATGCGCGTCTGAAACCTGCGTAACTCTAACGCAGCCTTTTCTCACTGTGCTCCTGACGTCACTCTCCGCCGTCCGAGTCGGGCTGTCAAAACGCTCAAAACACAACGGACAGAAACGTTTGAATTCAACAATATGGGTTTTAACTTCAGCTGACTCGCAGATAAACACTTCCAAACGCCAGTCAAGATGCTTTTTAAGTGCTCTGTTGGGGCTGTCTCCTTCATATTTATCACTTTGTTGGGGCTATGGCCGTGTTTTTGCTGCGGGCAGCAGACTGCTTACAGCCCGGGGACAGTGGAGCAGGTGGCGGTCACGTTAGCAGAGAGCGACCGCGCAGCGCTGGAGGAGACATTTCAGATTGAAGGCCGAGCTGTTGTGTATGGAGTGAGACCAGAGGCCTGGGCTCCTTCCTCTGTCGTGCTGGTTGATGGAGAGGAGCACGTCGGCTTTGTCAGGTTTTTTCCCTCATAATTACCCTATAATGCACAACATGGAGACCGAATATAATGTATAATGTTGCCCGGCTAAACTTTGCACGTTTCTCTATCCCACAAGACTTGATGGAAGCTTCACAGTAAACGATGTCCCTTCTGGATCATATGTGGTCCAGATTGCGTCCCCGGTGTATAAATTCGAGCCTGTCAGAGTGGATATCACCAGCAAGGGCAAAATGAGGTAGGTTAACGTTGGATTTCTGAATGCACTGGAACACGAGGTTCTTTATAGCACCTAAAAGGGTTCTTCTGTTGTTACAAGCTTGACACTGTAACAAAAGAATAACCCTCTTTCAGAACCATTTAAAAAAGTTTTATACAGAACCATTTACATTTCAGCGTCAGTCCCTCTACTCCCTTTCCCCCTCCCTCTCTAACTGGCTATATCCATGACATTAAGAGTTGGATGAGCTCTGATTTCCTTAAGTTTAACTCTGATAAGACTGGTGTCCTAATAATTGCCCCCAAAACATTTACTAGTACCCACTCTGATATAAGCTTTGACATTGATGAAGTACATGTAAAACCCACAGAAACTGTTTGTAATCTTTGATTCCTCACTTTCATTTGATTTTCATATCAGCTCACTTATTAAGACCACCTTTCATCACCTTCGTAACATTTCCAGACTCCTGATTGTCCTTCTTTCTGGTCTCCCAGCTGAACTCCTCACTAAATTACATTATGTTCAAAACTCAGCAACTAGAGTCCTCACTCACTCAAAACGCTCTACACACATTACACCTATTTTCTACAAACTGCATTGATTACCTGTCTCTGTTACAATACAAACTACTCCACATAACCTTCAAAGCCATACATAAACTTGTCCCTTCATAAATTGCTGAACTTCTCCGTCCTTACACCCAGCCCGTACATTTAGGTCTCCTGGTACGAGTTTGCTTAATGTGCCCTGGTTCAGATTGTTCTCAGTCGGTGGTAGGGTGTTCAGTGTAACAGCCCCAAAACTTTGGAACTCACTTGCTCAGAGTATCCATGTTCTTACCTCTATCTCAGCCTTAAAGACACATCTCAGAACCTACCTGTTTTCTTAGTGCTTTCCTTTACTCTAAATTTCATGTTTCAGTTTTTCTATGTAAAGCAACCATGGGTATTAGAAAGCAGCTATATAAATTAAACATACAAAACACTCTCCATCAATCTGATGAACCATTTCACCATGCACAGAACCATTTAAGCATGAAATGGTTCTATATAGAACCATTGCCTTAACTTAAGAACCCTAGAATAACCATCTTTTTTAAGGTACATCAATCATCTGTCATATGTATGCACACTGTAAACCCACATAAGTTAGCAAACCTTAAAATAATCAATCACTTTGCAATTTGTAGGTTCTTTGCATAATGCTTAAATTACTGAGGATGGTGACACAGATATTTCAGTTGACAGAGCTTAAAATGTTATTTTCATCACACAAATTAATATTAAATTGACAAGTTAATATAAATAAACTCTTCAAAGTCATTTTAACTCATTCATGAGTGACTTAAATACTTTGCAAATGATTAATGGACTGCTCCACAAGTAATGAACAATTTATCTTCAGACAGACCAGAACTGTCCATTTCACTGGATACCTTTGGTTTTATGAACTCAGAAGTCAGAAGCTGTTTAAAGACTGATGACAACCAATAGTTACTTTACACTTGTGACATTGACTGATCTGGTAAACTGCAGCACCATGTTATAACATATAGTTCTCAGATTCATGAACTTAAAAAGAAAGGAACTAATGAACATGCTTGATAGGTTTACTTTAGTATTAGTCATTTATGTTTTAGGTTTTTCTTTAATTTCAATGAATGAATTTCAGCTTTGGGGGTTATAGTGCATATGAACTGAAGTTTGTTGGTGCTTTTCTTCTCTTTTTGGGATCTTTTGGTATACAATAAAATGAAAGTGAGAGATAAGAAGGACAGCAATGAAGTCACGAACAGAACAGAATAAAATTAAACACTAAAAAGCAATGAATAACTCAGTGTAAAAGGCTAAACTGAATACTATAATACTATACTATAATACTATAAAGCTGTCTAAAATATACTAAAATACTGCTAACTGAGGTATCTGAGTAGAGTAAATGTAACTAGTTACTGCCCACTCCTGGCTGTCATTGTGTTTTTGTCTTTTTGAAGGTTCACGTCATTGCCCTTATGTGTCAAGATTGTAGCTCTGTTTTTGTCTTTATAGCCTAGGATATGGAAAAAATGTAGATCATTTATATCATTACCATCTCTAAAAAGGGGGTTTAGTTCATTTAAAAATGGATGTATGACATGCATTTAGCATTCCATTATTGTTGGATAACATTCCTGTACTTTTACTTGCAGGGCACGCAGAGTCAATTACATCAAGACATCTGAGGTAGTCCAGTTGCCTTACCCACTTCAGATGAGATGCAGTGGACTTCATTCTTACTTTATTAAGCGAGAGACTTGGTGCTGGTCAGATTTCTTCATGAATCCCATGGTAAGTTTGGTCTTGTTACATGTCCTTCCCAGGGATCTAGAGTCACTGTAGTGAATGACACTTCAAAATGTAATCCATCAGCAAATGATGAGATCAGTTTACTTTCTTTCTGCTCTTTCCTCAGGTTTTAATGATGGTGCTTCCTCTTGTGATCATCCTTCTTCTTCCAAAGGTCATCAACACAAATGACCCAGGGATGAGAAGGGTAAGCAAGTCAAGCAAGACAGACCTTCAGTGACATTCATATATCTGCTGCTAGATGGATTCTGAAACTGTTGCTTTTGAATGAACAGTGTACATAAATTAAGGATTGTTATTCAGCACAGTGTGATAGGTTTTTACTCCAGTGTCTTGTTCTTTTGTTTCTATGTGACAACATGCAATCCCTGTTTATGTGCTTTTTAGGAAATGGAACAGTCAATGAATATGCTCAATCCCAACCCTGAACTTCCAGATGTGTCTGAGATCATGACTAAGTTCTTTGCCCCGCCCAAAAGCCACAGCAGTAAGCCAGGAGGCGAAGGTCACAGGGGTCACAGGGGTCACAGGGGTGGCGGCCCTAGGAGGAGGTAGCACTCAACTGTGCTGGGAGACATGTTACTACTGCCTGATTTCCCTGATTCAGGCCTTTGTCAGCAATCATTTGCCAGAAAACAATCTGCCTTAAATGTTTAAGAGAAGAAGTGAAGGGTTTCATTCCAAGACGCATTTTAGAATATTTCTAAAATACACCGTTGGAAGTGAGCTTTACACATACAAGACAGATCAGTGCTATATTATGATTAAAAAATGTGTTTTCCATTACAGTTCAGCTGTTATTCTTTAAAGAAATGTGTTAAATTCACTATTCACTATTGTAACAAATGGATAAACAGCATTTTGGAATGAAACTCTTCATAGGATGCTGTTGTCATTGCTAATGCCTTATTTCACTGTGTTTAACACCAAGTTTGATTGCCTCTGGTGCTGTAATGCCTTTATTAATGCAGAATGTTTTTGAATTTGAAACTTCTCCCGGGTACATTTCTAATTTTAAAACAATTTAATTATTTATTGACTGATTATTACCTCAGAGAAAAAAAAAATTAAATTAATTCAGAGCTTTATTAATATTTTATTGACCTTATGTATTTAAACAGAGGATAAATAATTTACTACTGACTAATATCATTTCTTTTATCCTGTCATTATGCTGTTCTGTAGTGGTTTTTTTACTCCCTGTGTGTATTTTAAAGCCAACAGCCTTGGCTGACCATTATGGAAGTTGAAGGAGTGAAGGCTAAATATAGCAGTAGTGAGAGTGAGGGAGGAGCACCAGTGGGACTTTGAGTGACAGTCCAGCTTAGTTAGCTTTAGCAGCAGCCTGTGAAGTGTTTGCTTACAAGGGCAAACTAAATTAGTGGATCCTGAAAGGACTGTAATAGTTTTGTTTTTTCAGAGCTTGTACCATCACTGAACCTACATCTGAATATAACATACATAAAACAACCAGTAATGTTTTGACCTCGTATTTATTTTCAAACATTTTATGACTGTTTTGAGCATTTACTGGATTATGCCTTAATATTCAAATTTGATGCCAAGACATAACTTCCCACTATGCCCATGTATAGTATGTAATGTCATACCCTTCTTTTATTTAATCTGTAGTCAAATCATACATTTAACAAAACATTAAAAAGAGCAATAACTACATATAACATTAAATCTTTCAGTATGTGTGTCCACCTTTTGCCTTTATTACAGCTTTCATTCTTTTTAGGAGTCTTAAAAGTTGCATTTTCTGCTTTTCATGATCCAAATGTTTCAAAACACATTCATTGATGTTGAGTTCTGACGTCTGGGGTGGTCAGTCCATTGTTCTCAGAACACCAGCAGCATTTTTGTTTCATTTGCAGTGTTCACCACAGTACATGTCACTTTATCATAGTTCAGTAGTTTGGTCAAATGCCCAAGGAATATGCGGCCTTCTGCATCTGATTTTTTTTAATAGGCAGATTATATCAGCTTCCATAGGCTTAGCAGTTAGGCCAAACAGAGTGAGAGGTAAAGCCTTCCTTACAGTTTAAAGACTTACAACTTGACTGTTAAATTCAGGAATTTGCGTGAATTGCAATAATCATCAAATATGTTATTTAATGCCGTCCCAATGGAATAAAGAGATTACTGTGGCAAACTGTGAGATATCATGACCTACAAAAGGAAAGGGTTCATACAAGCTATCCAGCACAGTCCCATCCCAGATGACACAGATAAAAGGCTTAAACCCTTGGTGTGTTCCTGTGTGACGCGAGAATGGGGCTGAAGTCCAGTGCTGATAGGCCCTGTGTAGTCTGTAGATATGTGAGTCTCTGTGGACTCTGAGATTCAAGTTGGCAGCCCGGATTTCTCATTTTCTGTCATTCACGGTGAAGTGTTAGCTTTATATCTGTTGCAGGTTACACAGATACAAGGCAAGTCACGATACACGTAAAGGTAAGCATGTAGCATTTTATTAACTTTGAGACTTTGTAGGCCTACTGGACGAAAATATTTATTTTCCCCTTGCAAATGACATGATGTAATCAACATGTACAGTACTTTGTGTACCGGCTAGTTCTGACATTTCTTTCCTCAAAAAACCATTGAAAACAGATCAAGTTATAAAGTTTGCTAAGTTATGGTTCTAACTCTGTCTTTTGCTCTCCTTTGGAAATGGGAAATGTGTGTGCTTCTAAAGGATGAAACAGTTGGGCAGCAGGATGTTGGCTTTTCTGAGTCTGCTCATTTCGACTGGAGCCCTAGCTGTGCAGCCTCATGCTAAAAACATCCATCTGCTTTCTCCAGAAGAGCAAAAATTCATCCTAAATTTTGGACATAAAGGTACCAGTACAGGTTTCTTTTAGCTTTGCTGGTTTTATTAACTTGTTAAACGCCAAATTATTCTTGGCCAAAATTAAAATAGTGCAATCATTAATTTGTTGTTAATGGAATCCATAGAGTCATTGCACTTTGAGAAACAATTCATTTGAGTTGTAATCTATGGAAGCCCATTCCTGCCAGGTAGAAAAGAAGAGTATCACCTATGTTACCTCCTATTCTGTTTCTGGCAGCAAAAAATGTTACTTAGTATCTTGAAATAATTGCTTCTTTTCTCCAAATAATGACTTACTATGTTGAAATAATGACTCTGTTAAAATAATAACTTAATTAGATATGATTTCAAGTAGGTAAGTCAATGGGCTTCCATAGACAAATTACACTTAAGATGTTGCATTTGAAGTTCAATTGACCCTAAAGCTGTAATTTTGCTAATGAACTTCTCTAAGGGCTGTTCTCCAAAGCGTTTGCAGTTGTATCAAGAAATAAGTAATAGTAATACTATTTTTTTTAACTGGGTTTATGGCACCACGCCTGGTTCAAACTACACTACATAAAGACATCGACTTTTGACACAGAGCTTCCACGTCTCTGTCTCATTATCTACAGATAGTGTCTGCTAGCACAAATACTGACCTGTTGTTTTCTATGGACTAAGTCACTTTGCATCTTTCTATACCTCCAGATCTGTGGCTTATTAGTGCAAATACTCAGAATTCCAAGCTCTGTTTGTGTGTACAGTACTGTGCGAGTCAGAAACCACCCTTCATCTACTTAATTTCTAGTCAAAACGCCTTTAAGCGTCAATTTTTAGGAGGTTTTTCTGATCAAATTAGATAGCATAATCCACTAGCTTAAGAAAGAGGAAAGTCAAAAGAAAATAATTCAAATAAACTGGAGCTTCAGTAAATAGATATGAATAGATATAGTAGAAATGAGACCACAGTCATGTAAGATCTGAAGGACCACCAAAACTTGCAAGCTCGGAGAAACAGTACTTAAAAGCTTTCATCTTTGAGAGGCAGTAGCTCCACTCTTACTTCAGATCTGAAAAATCCACAGGTGTTTCCGTCCATCCTTCCACTGTGAGAATACAACTCAACACTATGAGTCTGAATGGATGTGTAGCTGTCAAGAAGCTGTTACTGAGAAAAGAAAAGCCAACAAAAAATAAGAAAATTTGAATGGAACAGAAAAGAAAAAAAGATAAAAATAGAATAAGACTGTTAATGCTTCTCATTTTTGAAAGTTGTGCCTCCATCACATAGATTATGCCAGAGGTAGTGAATCCCAATCCCGGAGAGCTAGAGTCCAGCTCAGTTTGGCGTTTTCCTTATCCAGCTCATCTTTTTATTCAACTTATCTGCTAAATGCCAGCTTTAGTAAGTGTTAGAGTACAGAAATTACTTCTGCTGGACTCCAGCCCTCCAGGACCTGAATCCAATGCTCTTGGATTCACATGCAATGCCAGTATACACCACTGACAATCCTTTTTAATCTAGGTTAATCTAGGTTGTTTGAGAAACAAGCCCTATTTGCTTAATCCTCGTTCAAAGTTCTCATATGCTTCTTCCTACCAGAGATCCCCAGGGACTGTCATGACCTGTGGGAGAGTTCTGGAGCTCAGGCACGGGATGGCGTCTACTTGATCAAACCTGCAGATACACCCATTGTAGCCTATTGTGCCATGCAGGAAGGCGGCTGGACTGTCATCCAGCACATCACGGTCAACAGCAGTGTAGATTTTGACCGTTCTTGGGAGGACTACAAGTTAGGCTTTGGAAGCCTCACTGACAACCACTGGCTTGGCAACGACTACATCCACCAACTCACCAGTGGACCTGGGCACTATAAACTTGGCATCAAGCTGGTGGATAAAGACGCAAAGACCAAGACGGGCGAGTATGATCCAGTACTGGTGGAGGATGAGGATGCCCAGTACCGCCTACGTCTAGGCCTGTATCAAGGCACAGCCGTGGACGCGCTCACCATGGACCCAGAAAACTACCTCCACGACAACCAGAAGTTCACCACCAAGGACCGGGACAATGACAACTACTTCCAGAACTGTGCCAAGCTGGAGTTCCAGGGAGTGGCCGGAGGGGGCTGGTGGTACGACGCCTGTGCCGGGGCCAACCTGAACCGCCGCAACGTCATCTACTGGCAAAAGGACTGCAACAAAGAACATTTGTGTAAATACGCGTGGATGATGGTGAAGCCTTCAGACATGGTCAAAGTCATCCGTCCAGCAGACTGCAAAAGAGACGAGCTCTGATCTCGTTACACTCTTATAGATAAGCTTTAAGGTTTTAGGCGGGGTTGATCTTGGGGAACGTGATGATAAATTGTTTCTTGATCATCTGATAAAGAATAAGACAATGGAAAGAGACTGAGAAAATTTAGATGTAAAATCAATGATTAAAAGATCAGTCACAGGTTTTTTATTAAAGGACGCACAAAATGTTGTGAAGCAGATCTATATTTTTGAAAAAATCATCCAGACATACAGGTTTACAGTCACAAATTACACTAACATGAACAAAACAGCAAAGAAGATCTCACATGATTCTGCCTGTACATGAAATTGTAAGTCATCATAGGAACATAACTGTTATTTTTGTCACCTCCATTGACAACTATAAAGTTGTAATGGTATGTTTCATGAATTTTTCTACTACAACATCCTTAGAAGTGATTTGTTTTATGCATCTTTACCATCATAGCTGGTAACCAAATTATCAAAATATCAAGTTAATCTTAAATGGAACTCTTAGGACATGTAAGCCTCAATATGGTGCACATGTACAATACTATCAAAATATGTTGTAAAAACCAAGCAAAATACTTTATTTGGTATTGAAAATAGACAAAATCCCTCTAGTTTTGTTGCAACATTAAAAAATTGCTCTTGTTCGGTGAGTGAGGAACAGTGAGCTAATGTAATTTATCTAACTCAAAGATACCACTCAGTTTTTCCAACCTGAGCTAACTTTATCAAAGAGCAAACCTTCTATCATTCTATTGATTATCATATTCAGAGCCAGTTTAAGGGGAGCCTGACTTTTTATTTCTTGTATTACATCAAAAACATGCAAAATGCCAAAGGGCTTCTGCAAGGAAGCCCTCAATGAATAGAAGTGAATGGACCTAAGTGGCTAAAAATTAAAAGTTAAAAGTTGCTAACCATGTTTATGAGGGACACAAGAAACTAGAAGAATGCATTGCATCAAAAATCTAAGAAGCAGTTTTTTCTATAGCACACTTCCATTTGGTTTGTACATCATATTTTATTGCACTGGACATGTACACTAAGGCATACAACACTTAACAGCCAGCATTCCCTTTAACAACCAGGCACACTGTCATGATTTTTCTTCTGCACTCCTCAGCAAATCATATCTTACTTATCAGTACAAATAGCTAAAAGGTGCAGCTTGTGACATTTAACCAGCCAAGAGGATGGAATTAAAAAAAAACCTCACACTATAAAAATGTCAGTGATTTCAGTAGCACAGGTCACATAGTTAACAATGAAAATCAAATTTTAGAACATAATTCATGTTTGCTGTTGATTTTTTCCTTGACACTTTCAATTATTTATCACTTGAATTCTTTTTTATTTCTTTTTTTTTTTTTAGCTTTTAGCTCTTATTTATTTCTTGAAAAGTAATGAAGGCATTTGATGGGCACATACAATCTTAATCAAGCCTCTTTTATATATATATTCAGCTCGAAACCTAATAGCAGAAACAGTAATAGCCCTTAAGACTAACATTGTGACAAGCATAAATAGCAGAACAACAATTACAAATCACTGACCAAGAATTGTGAGTATATATTTGTTCTTTTAGCAACACACAGATGTACCTCATCTTGAACAATAAACCAGTCAACCATTGTTCAGCGCTTCATTAGTTTATAAATGTTTGACAAGTGATTTGAGAAACCCATGTTCCTATGAACCGGAAAACAATGCAGAGTCTATGGTCACATTACGTATTCAGTTATACTGAAGCCAGTGGTGATGTCCAGAAGGTTCTGCTAATAAACAAGTTCCTCCTCTATGTTCCATTCTTTTTGTTCAGATGCATTTAGGTTAACTTAGTGCCTACAGCAGGGTTTTGTCCATACCAGTAAAGCTTCTCCTCTACCCTCTTCTTCTTCCACTGGCAGAGGAGGAGCATGCGGAAGGTCTTTTGAAAGGTCTTGTTGCAGAGGGCGTAGCACATTGGGTTGACAGTGCTGTTGACGTAGCACAGCCAGTAGCCTAGGTGCCAGAGGGACAGGGGGATACAATCAGAACAGAAGGTGGAGATGAGTACCATGATATTGTAAGGTGTCCATGTGAGAATGAAGGCCAGCAGAATGGCACTGAGAGTCTGGGCTGCTTTCCTTTCCTTGATCAGGACCATTCTCTTGCGCTTGGTTATCTGGCTCTTGAGAGTCGCATCAATAGGCTTGGAGGATGAGGCCGTGGAGGGCACGCTCATGGACTCAGCCGAGGAGAAGGAAGCTGCTTTGGTGTCTTCGTTCCTTGTCTGCAGAGAGTTGCTTTCCTTGGCAGCTGGCTTGAACTTGTATGAGACGCACTTCTTGCTCTTTTGGGAGTTAGCCTTGATCGGTGATGGGAAGAAGTTCTCGTCTTCATGACTGCTCAGCTGTTCACCGTCGTTGGACAGCGCTGCTTTGTTCTCTCCACAGGCATGGTTTCTGTAAGCCGGCAGGAGTCCAGGAGATACTGGCCGCTCCTCATCTTCAGAAGAGGCGTAGCTGTTGAAGGTGGCCAGCTGGTCAGCTTTGGACCACTCGTCATTGGACGCGGTGGCAGATTTGGCAGCTTTGCTGCGGCTGGACAAAGACCAGGATGACTGTTTCTGCTTCTGGTCTCTGGAGATGCTGCTGAAGCAGGACCTGATGATGGCCCTCTGAGGCTGGGCTTTATTGTCAGAGTCTGTAGAGTGGTTGACACCCTGGAGCTCGGCCAGGTCTTTAGTGCGCTTCTCTGTTTCTTTGTATATCCGACAATACAGGATGGTCATGACTGAAACGGGGACATAAAATGCAGCGATGGCAGTGCCGAAGGTTATCACTGGCTCTGAGAAGAACTGGATTTGACACTGTCTCTCCGGCACCGTTCTCTTGCCTACGAAGTACTGCCAGCACAGAATTGGAGGCGCCCACAGGACGAAGGACACAAGCCAGGCCAGGCCAATCATGATTCCAGCACGCTTTGGCGTTCGCTTGGCTCTGTAGGTCAGAGGCCTTGTAATGGAGAAGTAGCGGTCAAAGCTAATTACCAGCAAGTTCATTACTGAGGCATTGCTGGCCACATAATCCAGAGCCAACCACAGGTCACATGCTAGGTTACCTAGTGACCAGTAGCCCATCAATATGTAGGAAGTGTATAAATTCATGGAAAATATACCAATGATAAGGTCAGCAAAAGCCAGGCTCAGCAAATAGTAGTTATTAACAGTTTTCAGCTGACTGTTGACTTTGAAGGACAGCATTACAAGAACGTTCCCAATTATTGTGATCAGGCTCACTATGGCCGACACGGTTGCTATAGTGATGACCTCCCACAGGCTATGTGTGACGAGGTGGATGTCCGAAGCATTGGCACTGATGGAGGAGTTGTCCGTTAGACCTCCGTCCATGGCTCCCATTTCAGTCTGCCCCCTAGCAGCAGTTCAAAGAAAGCGTCGGGAACAGACTGTACTCCATGCTGATTCAGGCGTTCTGGAAGAACAACAGAAAAGTAATGATATTGAAAAACTCACAAGGTCAGAAAAAGGTGCTTAGTCTTATACTGTACAGATGAAGATGATGGCATTTGGCTATAATAAATACCTTCTTATACGGTCATAGGCAAAAGCTTCAGCACCCTAGTCATGTTTTAAAGTAAAAATAAGTACACACTCCTCACAGAGAACACACTTCTGCATATTTTAATGCACAATTACTGTTTATTTGCTGACTTTAACAAATTGGTAAAACATAAAACATAGAATGTGGTGTGTAGGTTATGGCACATTTTATAAGTTATAACTTATTTTTTCAATACATTAAATTCAGCAATTAAAAAGAATTTGTGTTTTAAAATTCATAGTAAATTGTTTCTTATTGTTTAGTTCATGTGGAGAATTTGGCAACTTTTCTTTTCACTTTACACAATTTTCAAGGCTTTTCATTAGACCAGGGGTATCCAGACTTTTGCCAAAAGTTCATCAAAAGTTTGTTTAAGAGTATCCACTACAAAGCTACTTTTGCAATATACATGGGTGATTGTGGTGCAATTTAGGCCTTTAATAAAAGTAACTTTTTCATGCATTTTTCATTATTGAATTTAAGAAACCATGTATTTAACCAATCAAAAAATGTATTAACTCATCTCAGGAAAAAAATACCCTTTTTTAAAAGGTTTCTTTGCTGATAGTGCCCTTAAATGTGACAGTGTTGGTTTTTGACAAAATGTGGTTAATTAGCCTCCAAGCTGATGGCATAAGGACAATAATGACACTCTAATAATTGCCTTAAAAGTGAATAATTTACTTACACATTGTAATTTAGGTAACAGGGTTGCACTGTCATAGTGTCCTCATCAGTCAATATCACTATATCATTGACAAATAAGGGAAAAAAACAATGAGAGAATCTCTTTTCTTTCCAAATTTGGTTTATGAACTTTCCAACTGAACATGTGATTCACACATTAATGCAAAAATAATACAAATTTTAAATATTTGAATGATTATATTTCAAGGAAGTGTAGTTATAGTGGGCTAGACAGGCAAATATACTGTTTTCTTGGTGTAAATATGGTGGGCTGGATGGGGAAAGGACCTCTTTTCTGAGTGCTGTAAATAGATTTTATTATTGTTGAAGTTATTCATCTAAAACATACACACGGGTTGTTGTGAAGGACACTTTACCCATGTTAAAATATCTTTTACCTGTACTTTACACACAAATCCTGATTTACTGGCTTCTGAAAGAGTAAGAAAGTTGCCTTGCTGATCACATGGTATAACTTTCTTAATGTGAATTAAATAGAAGTGTGTAATCATCAATTAAGCCATGTAATCATTACTAAATATGTAAGTACATAATTATACCAAAATACATTGCAATTATATTTTAAGGTGCATTCATTCCACACACACTGTCTTGTCTCCAGCCGTTTATTTTACTGTTCTTTTTAAAACATTAGGTTATATTATTACATTATAATATAATACATTATAATTCGAATGTAGAATAGATTTATTTTCCAGACATTTCATTCCAATGTAAGTTATATTGAAGAATGACAATATGGGCCACTTGACACTCGATCATGAGATCAAAACAAAGATTTGAACAGTTGGAATGCAAACACACAGTGTGAGCTATGTACAGACTGGCTGCTATCACTAGGGGGAGACATATACTCTGTTTTGGACTGCCACTAGATTTAGGAATTCAGAGCGGAGTTGTTAGATTACTTTACCTAGGAGACTTTTCAGTGCACCTCACTGACTTTGTTTATAACCTGCTCATTGACTCTCTCATTCACTCAGTTATTCACTTATGTTTGCCTCACTAGGCAATACCTAGGAGCAATACCTATTAAATCTAATACCAGTACAAGTTTATATGTAACAATAATACCGACACTCTGTCCAGTGCATTTAATTTACATTGAAAAAAAAAAGTAAGTCTTAAGTCGTAAGTAAAAGTCTTAAATGGCCCATATAATGAAAAACTGGTGTTTTTTTAATAAATGAGTACGTAAACATTTTCAAGTTTCAAATGTACTGTTAATGCTCCAGTTCATAATGGTAATATACAAAAGTTGCTGTAAAATCAACACGTTTTAAAGTAATTGTTTTCGTGATGTCATGAAAACCAACATATTTATATATAGAGTCAAATTTTATACAGGCAAAAGTTTGAACACGCCTGGTCAAATGACATATTCTGTTGGTTTTCAAAGTGAATAGGTTGCACATTCCCTACAAGTTACAAATGGCATTTTTCTGCTAATTTAAGTGCACAATTTTGATTTATTTACTGAGTTTAACATATTGGAAAAAATAAAATGTAAAACCTTTGCACTGACCACATTTTATGTTTTTTCCCAGTAAGTTAAATTCAGCAAATAAACATTAATTGTGCATTAAAATGTGTTCTCTGTAGAGGACGCGTTCACATATTTTCACTTAGAAGATCGAAAAAACATATAAAACTTTTGCAAGTAACTGTGTATGTATATTTATAATCAATGTCTGTGTTCTGGTGTTGCTTGTTCTTGCATCAAACTGTATAGCACAGAATATATTTCAATATATTTTTGATACGTACATTTTTCTCACATGTGTCACTGGGTGCTCTAAATTAAGAGGTAGTTTAGCAATCGAAATCCAAATAATGCTACGTACATGTTACAAGCAGCTACCCTTCCTGCAACATGAAATAACGTTGCATGAAAAGAAGTTAACTATTACACTTAAGTACTGAACTACCATTTGGCAAAGGTGGGTTGTGTGGGCTATTTTGGATCCAGCAAGGTATGGAGGAAAAATTTCTGTATGGCAAACGTATTAGCTTTAAAATATTTTAGTTTACAACGGCATCCATTTTTAACAATGTCATTTGTTTTTGTCATAGAGAGACATTTTTCTAAGACTCATTGCTGATCAAAAGCATTTCAAGCTTGCTATCTAGCTATGGTTGCTTTATTGAGCTGGTATAAAAGCATACAAACATTAATGCGGATCATTCTACTGAATTGGTTCAAAGCCAGAGTTGAAAACACATTTATGACTTTTAACTGACTCGGACTTTAGACTAAAATCCTTTTTTTTCTTTGAATGACCTTATACCTTAATTATGTTTATTTTATAAAAGTAAATGATTGAACATTCCATTCTGACACTACCAAAACAATAATAACACTACCAAAACTTTACCAAACGTTTCACTGGTGACTGTTCCAGTAGTGACAATTTTAGCTCATTTTGAGCAGAACTCAAAAATGCTAGCTGGTACATGATAAGCAAAGACACCTTTTGAACAGGTGTACACACATAAAATCATAATATTTTTCATTAAAACACAAAAAAATTACTTACTACTAAATGTATGTTTCGGTAGTGACAGTTCTTAATGTTACATACTAATTTTCAGATTTTGGTACACATTTACTTCAAAACAGTGGGATCTAACAGCTCACCATGTGGCCATGAGGGACTAAGATGCAATCTCACTTCGTGCTCTAAAATGCTGGGGGTCTGAGTATTTCATTTTATTTTTCAAATAGTTTCTCTTTTTACTGTGGGGCTGCAGTTTGAACTAATTCTGTAGAATGGTCCATATAGCTTATATAACGGAATTTATTTTACAATGTCACCAGTAAGCATCCAGTAAGAACCTGTTAGTAACATGTAACATTAACTGACTGTAGCCAGTGCTGGCTAGCTGGGTTTAGCAGAGCACCAGCGTTACTATGGAAGACAGAGCTTCACATCTATTGCACTGTGTGGACCTTCTTCTACTTTACCCCTTATAATATTTTAAACCTGTGGTAATCCTCACATTTCTAGAATGTTTGTTATCTTCTTCAGTAGTGGAAAAGGTTGTTAAGCTCTAAACTAGAAACTGCAGTCTTTCTTTATTTCACACTGTATCCATGTGGTCGACTAGCAAGCATGGACATGCTTCTGATATAAAAATGAGAACAAGGTGATGACTGAGATGTTAATGACACCGTTTCTACTGAAACTGAGACCTTCTAGGCCCTGCTCAGTCAGATAAAGTGGCAATAGGCTTTCAGCCTTATATGCCAATCTGTTGCTCTCTTTACATCAGACAGAGCACACATGAAGCAGCATGTTCAAAGCGAGAGGAGCAGCCCATCTATCACTGTGGCTTTTTGTTTCTAGGGAAACGAGCGACCGATTGCTTTTGGGAGACAAGAGCTAACATAATTTCAGGTGCAGGGAACGTGCTCCAGGATTTGCTGGAGGGCAAAACAAACAAGCACTCCAAAAAACAGATGACCATGTCATCCGCTCCCCTGCGTTTGTTTAAATGGACTCGTAGGCAGAGATGGTGTTTGTGCTGCTGCATTTTTCTCAGAGGAGCGGTTACTCACAGGAAAGAGAACTGCTTGCAGGCTTGAGGTCACTGTGTGTGGTGGGTCGGTGTGGCAAAATGCCTGCATGATACCAGCATAAATGAACGAACTGATCTGTAAATGAAAACTGCAAAGCTGTTTGACAGCGTATTCATTTTCTTCAAATTCTTTCAGTAACAGTAACAGAATCAGGACTGAAATCAGTTGGATGTAGTTTAATGTCGCTCGCCAGATGCTTCCTTCCAAGGCTACATATGGGTACTGCGGGGGATTATGGCAATACACTTTCCCTGGGGCCGTTCGGGGTTAAATGCTTTGCTCAAGGGCACAACTGCAGTATCAACTAGAAGCGCAGGCACACTGAAGACGGGATTCCTGTGGTTCTCTGGCACTTGGTCCAAATTCCTTAGCTTCCTAACCAGCAACTCCTCAATTATCAGCATGGAAGGCAGTGCATTCTTAAAAATAAAGGTGCCAAAGAAGGTTTTTGGAGCAATGCCATAAAAGAACCATTGATGGTTACCTAAAAAATTCCTTTCAGTCAATGGTTCTGGTTTTAGCGAGAAACATTTTAAAGCTTTAAGAACCTTCACATAATATGAAGTTTCTATAGTTAATAAAG